GATAGAGGAACTGCTGTGAAACTATAGTCTCGAAAACCGGGTACATTCGCGAACTTTCCGGAATCACGAACATGTTCGTGCGTGTCGGGTACGTTCCAGGAATGATCTTTCTGGATTAGTCCGGAACCGGTCTCGGCCCATATAAAAAGCCGCAGGGAGGCGAGCGATGACAGTTCAGTTTGAGCTACCTTCGAGGCGACTTCGGAGTGAAAACTGGTGATCAAGAGCGATACCAGTAAAACCTACGACTTGGCTACAAAATAGGACATTGTTAGTGCTTAGTGTTTGGACCTAGTGCTTTCTGTTGGACCTAGTTCTAGTGAATAAAGTCTTCAAAAGAGTCAGCAGGTCTTTCTCTCCAGATCCTTCGAACCCCGAACACGTAACAACTGGTGTCAAGTGGGATTTGGAGATGCCATTGACTCCGAGAGAGGACTTCAAGGAGGGTGTCAGGACAAGGGCACGAGCTGCGGAGGCCACACCCACTGGGGACCAAGCCCCGCCCACTGCGGAACAAGCCCCGCCCACTGGCCCCGCCCACCGGCCCCGCCGACCAGGCCCCGCCCCTCAGACTCCGCCCATCCAGGCACAAGCCCGCCCACTCGGGCTCTGGCCCCGCCCACTCGGGCACAAGCACCGCTCACTGACTCCACCCATCGGGCCACGTCCACTGGCCCCGCCCACCTTGCCACGCCCACTAACGGCACCGTAACTTCTGCAGCTCCTGAAATGGCTCTTCAATTAGGCAGTTTAATTGAACTAATTAGCGCTTTGCAAGAGTCACAAGAACGCAAGCTGACTACGATTCAAGAGTTTCAAAAGGCTGAAATCAGAGCGATTCGAGAATCACAAGAGCAACAAAAAGACCTCCAAGAAAAAGCACTTTGGGCTATAAATGATGTCAGTAATACGGTGATTAAGCTTCGAAAAAATGTCGACGTAGTGGAAGAACGAATTACCGGGTTAGGATTGGATGTTGAAAATTTGAAAACCGGCCTCACTGAACTACAGAAGAAAGTAGTGCGCCTTGAAACCACGGGAGTCGCGATGTCTAGTGGAACTACTGGAGTGGCGCAAGGACCAAGAGTGAAAGTGCCGCCATACGACGGCACTACTTCTTGGCACGCTTATCGTCGGCAATTCCAGACTGTTGCTACTGCCAACGGTTGGACGGAAGAGCAATGCCTGACCGCTCTCACTGTTGCACTTAGAGGGCAGGCTTTGTCGGTCCTGGAAGCACTGCCACATACAGGAAATGGGTTCCAAGACCTGATGGAGGCACTTGAATCCAGATACGGGGAGCGACACCTGGAGCACGTATTCCGTGCCCAACTGCGTGACCGAGTTCAACGCTCAGGAGAAGGACTACAACAATGGGCGTTAGAAATTGAAAAACTCGTCAGGAAGGCACACCCAGGAGCCGACACCAAGATGGTAGACACGAATATTGTTCAAGCATTTGTGGACGGAATCAAAGACCTGGAGGTCAGAGCTGCAGTGAGGCTTCGTCACCATACCTCACTAAAGGAGGCATTGGCGCATGCTTTGGAGGTCGAGGCTGTTCGCTATGAAATACGGCAGACCCATAAGATCCGTGAGGTCTCTGAGGAAGTCAAGGAGGTTAAGGCTCTTACGAAGAGAAGTTCTGGACCCATGTGCTACAAGTGCGGCGAGAGGGGCCATCTTCAGCTCAACTGCCCGCAGAAGGAGACCCAGATGTCAAGGATGAAAAGGATTGAGGAACAAATAGAGGAGCTGAAGAAGCAAGGGGCTTCAGGGAAACGAATAAAAGCCGGTACTAAGTGGCGAGTTCTGGCTGACGCGGAGGAAGCCCCAGCAAACAGCAACAACTACGAATCAGTGACTGAGCTACTCGATGACTTCAAGACGGAACACCGCAGTGGAAAGACGCATGGGAATGCCGACGCACTCTCACGAAGGTCGTGTTCAGAAGACTGCAACCATTGCGTCAAACAGGAATCTAATAAAGTAACATTAAAGTTAACGAGAACAAGTCCTTTGGGTCTCTGGGAGAATGATGCTATGAGGGAGGCCCAAGAAAGAGATGACGACGTTCGGCACATCATCTCATGGAAGAAACGGGGTGACGTAAAACCAATCTGGAGTGAGGTTGCTCCCACTGGCGCCGTCACAAAGGCGTACTGGGCGCAATGGGACAGTCTGATACTTCAAAACGGAATACTCTACCGGAAATGGGAGAAGACTAACGGCAGAGAGTTCCATCTTCAGATAATTGTTCCGAGAACGAGAGTACCAGATGTTCTCCGTGAAATACATGATGGCGTATCAGGAGGTCATCTAGGTGTCAAGAGGACGTTAACAAAAGTGCGAGAACGATTCTACTGGTTGCACTGTCGAGATGTACAGGATTGGTGCCGCAAATGTACTACTTGCGCTGCTGTAAAAGGACCACAGACCAGAAGCCGTGGGAACCTGCGGTTGTATAACGTCGGTGCACCGTGGGAACGAATTGCAGTTGACGTAGCTGGGCCATTTCCTGTAACGGAGTCGGGAAACAAGTATTTTATGGTCGTCATGGACTACTTCACCAAATGGCCCGAAGTGTTCGCCATACCAAACCAAGAAGCTACAACAGTCGCTTCTAAGTTAGTCGAAGAAGTGATATGTCGCTTTGGTGTGCCTCTAGAAATCCATTCCGATCAGGGCAGGAACTTCGAATCGCAGGTATTCCAGGAAGTGTGTAGAATTTTGGGCATAAGTCTTCAAAAGAGTCAGCAGGTCTTTCTCTCCAAATCCTTCGAACCCCTAACACGTAACAATATGTTTCGATCTTACCGACGTAATAATAAGAAAATATGAACTGGTGTTTTTCACAAAAGAAAGAACTTTCAAAAAAAGGAAAAAACATAACAAATCGACAAAAAATAAAAGATAAAGAAAGCAATGATCTGGAATCGAAAAAAAGAAAAAAAAAGTGTGCAAATGATCGTGATACGAACCACGGCCTTCTGTTTCGTTCCTGTTTGTTAGCGGCCGCTCGATTATCGACCGAGCTATTATAAACATTTTTTTTTCGGTGAAATTTACCGTCGTATTCGAATAATATTTTTAATTCCCTGAAAACTGAGGTAAAACGACATTTTCTAAAAATGAAACCTAGTCAGATCGATTTTTCGCCCCCGAATCTACGCACATACTAAATTTCATGAAAATCGCTGGAGCCGTTTCCGAGATTCCAATTATATATATATACAAGAATTGCTCGTTTAAAGGATAAGAGATATAGACGTTTGATTTAATTACAAATTACATTTATTTAAACAAATATTGCCTATTTTAGTCATGAAGTACCTGTAGGATCGGTTTTTTTTGGTAAATCGTGTATTTTGGAAATAAAAAAATAAAAAATAAAGCAATGATCTGGTAGAGAAAAATAGTTAAAAAAAATAAGTGTGTAAATGATAGTAACACGAACCGTGGCCTTCTGTTTCGGAGCCGCCCGATTACCGACCGAGCTATTATAACCTATTTTTTCGGCAAAATTTACCGTCATATTCGAATGATATTTACATTTCCTGAAAACAGGGATAAAAGGAAATATATTTTTTTGGTGGTTATTTCGAAAATATATACGTTTCTTCACAATGTTTTACCTCGTCGCATCCTCATCGCTCACTTCGGATATTGCGACAAAATAAAAAGTAACTGAAAAAATAATAAAGAGTTGCCAAAAGGATTTTGAATCAATTTGAAAAAAAAAAAAAACAATTTAAAAAAACAAACCCGAATGACATTTAACAAGCCATTTGACAACTGATTAATTAATTTCTACGTTTATGAGTCTTCCAGAAATCGGGCGTAAGATTCTTCCGTTATGATTTTATACTTAAAAATTGTGAATATCGCTCGCAGAGTTACGCTTCGAAACTAGGCTAATTAGGTTACATGCGCCGATAGCCGTTACTTTTACCCCTATACATTGTATATAGTGCAAATAAATGAACTTTTGTTATTGAAACACAAGAATTCACACAATAAAAAGAATTAGAATCAAGGGTAGCAATAGACATGTTTCTGTTTATTTAATAGAAGCTTGAATACGATTACTTGTACGATTACAGTTTCTAAGATTACATTTTAAGTTTATTTGAAATATAATTTTCGATACATAAAAAAATAATATAATTAATTAGTGGTAATATATTAAAGATAATAAAAAAAATTCTCCAATCTAGCAGCAGCGATGGTGTTTATATTTTATTGTGTAAATTCATTAAGTTTTCCCAATTTAAAAAGATTCCGTTGCGCAATACGTATTATTTATGTTTGTATAGTATTTTTACTATCTCTACTGCCTTATAAAACAATTATTTAAATCTGTTCGTCGCAACAAAAATCTTACCAAGTCGAGTGACGCAAAGGAATACCATGTAAAAATGTGCGGGAAAAGCGTTAATATCAAAATGGCGGACAGCGTCCGTGTTTCTTACACGTGTCAAATTCGCTGCCGCGGCTCCCTTAAATATATACTAAGAACAGCGCAACCAATCTGTTTCTGTAGAATAATTTCCGTTTTAATCTTAATGCTAGTGCCATACGGTACTCCAAATGCGCTTTTATTTTTTTATTTTAGTTTTATTTGGAATAAAACGTTACATTCTTTTATATTCGAAAGGGATTGCTGCCAGGTCTTTAGGATAACGTTCCCCCGGTTTGCTAGGATGTGTTTCATACAAAATTTTCACGTGAACAACACCTAGATCAGAACGATTATATTTGTAGCAATATAGATGCTCGACCCGGTCGGGAATCGAACCCATGACACCTTATCCGTAGCCGAATACAATAACTTGCATCGCGGAGCCGTCGTATATGCTTCAAATTTAATCTATTTGATGCATAAACGAAAGCTCCACTATTTATAAAAGAGAATCGTCTTAAAAACAAGCAAAACAGCATTTTTCTGAACCTAAATATGTCTTCTATGGCATATGGTTTTATGAATTATAAAGAAGGAAATGCCGCTTAGCTTAGCTGGTAAAAATTCTGGGCGCGAAACCAGAAGACGTAAGCTCGAATGCCGTAGCGCCGAAAGTTTTTGATCATTTATTTACAATCATTTACAATTTAAAATCGTAAAGAATTTATTTGATTTTTTTTGAAGGTGAGTGAGAATCGGTGACTACTCTACATGGCTTACTCTACATCCTATTAGTTGAGTACATACGTTTCCTATTCGAGACGAATTACCTGAACTAAAAATGAACTACCTACTTGTCGATATACTTGAACTAATTGTTCTATACAAAATCTGTCTAGTATTTTAATCCAGATTGAAAATGGTTTGGAAACATAAACAAAATTAATAAATTTTATTATGAAACTACCTAGAAAAAGGTAATTTTAACATTTAACATTAAAAAAAAATATGTAGCGTTTCTTTTCAATGCCTTTGCTGATAAAATTTCTATAAACAGCATATTTATTTACTAGTATAATGCTTTTGAAAGTTTCATTTTCTATGAGCACGGTAAATGTGTTAGACACGACGTCAGATCCATTGACTTTAATATTGAAAACATTCTATTAGCTAGAGCGGAAGGATATAAAGCAATATTTGATTTGAGAGCGGAGCGTTCTTACGGCTAAGCGATATGATAATAGCGGTTGCGGTAGTATCGTCCACTATGTTCAAATCCGATACAGTTTTTTTTTTATTTGTTATGTTTGTCATTTGTTATCTATTTAGATGACGTTAATTCCGTCAGATTTAACGACAGATTATGAACTAATGGACTATGAACGCATTTTGGCAACAGTACGTTAAATATACAAAGAGATGGCGATTCGGCATCGTTAGCCGAATTAAAACTCATCGGAGTCAGACCCGTAAAGTTTATAATTAGCCGGCTTTTTTTACTTCAATGGACCAAATGTACCGCATCTACTCGAACGTATGTCTAGATTATTAGAGCCTAGATTAGCAGTTGTAGACCTGACACAAGTAGCACTTATTTCTTTCAAATGGACAGTACATTTTTTATCACAATTGAACCGAATGGCTGAATTCAAATGATTATAATTTTTTAACCGAATTCAAAAAAGGAGGTTTCTCAATTCGACCGTATATATTTTTTTTTTTTTTATGTGTGTTCGCGGATAACTTCGTCGCTTATGAACCGATTTTGATGTTTATTTTTTTGTTGGAAAGGAGACATCCCAACGGTGTTACCATGAAGGAAACCCGGATCTGATGATGGCATCTTAGAGAAATCAAGGGCAATCCTCAAATGCTATAGTTATCAACAATGTTTTTTAGTTTCCGGTTTGAAGTAGGTTTTTTTTTTGTTGAAAATTATACTTGTATATATTACCGTATTGTGAATTGAAACGTTATCCTTCAAGATGTTTCAACATAATATACTCCCAAATATTTATCCCTCACAAAGACCAGACTTTGTTGACTTGTTATCAGGTTTAAACTCAATAAAGTTTATGTTTATATAGAGATTGGAAAAATCAAGTAATCATAATTTTTATCAAATCTTCAGTGGATTAACCGTATATTTTTAATCTGTGATAAGTTCGGAACCCGATAACTGTTCGTGTATCATTAATTCAGCGAAGACTGATGCGTGGTCGTACAACAGTTCAATTAAGCTTTAATTGTCTCAAGGACTGAAAAAAAAGTCAAAGTAAAGTAATATATATATATAAATTCGGTTATTCCGTTTACCAGCAAACTCTGGCTCCACTGCTATAACTACCATGCGTAACCTATGTATTCCTAAGGTTATTTTTATTTAATTAATCGTTATTGCCAACCTTAAAACCAAAAGCATTCTCTAAAATAAGTTGTTATATGAGTGTAGCTGCATTTACGCTTGGCAATACGGAAGCGAGGTATTTGCCCGACATTCTTATAGTCGCGTCGCATTAATGCAATGTAACATAATATTCATCTCTTTCTAATAACATGGATAGCTTATAATAGCTTTAATGTTCTCTTTCTCACTAGTAGTAAGTATTCACGATAGTTTAAGCTACTTTTAGTGCAGTGATGTTGGCGTTGCTTCCATAGACAACCGATAGTTTTAAAAAATAAGCAAATAGAAAAAAAAATTAAATATAGGTCTCTGAAGTTCTTCCGAATCCCTGTATAGTCCACAAATTACTGTGCGAGGGTGTTCGCGAAGCGCCTATCAAAATCATCGCTGCAACTCGCACGATCTAATTTGCATGCTTTTACATTATGTACAATTGTCAACTTACATAACTTAGTAGGTAGTTAATTTTTTAACATTCATTGTGTTACCGCTCTGTGACTAAGCACATTACATGTCTTGCAAAGCTTCCGATATATTATTTATTTTAAAAATTTACCAGGACTATTTCCCAATCAGAGGGACTACGCGGGGGAAGGTGCAAGTATTCCCATCTCGTTTTACCGCTCCTAAATGGCATAACCTAAATGCAGTCGCAAATAAAGGTGTTCGGTATTATTTAAATTTTTGAGGTTGTCGATTGTCGACCGACCACCGAATCATTGTGGTACCTAGGGCCTAGTAGCGTCAGCTGTTGTACGAACTAGTTGGTTCGTTTTTAAAATACACCATACAAAAGGCCGGCGTTAAACAGATGCTCACTTAATACACTAGCGTTTCATCTCTTTTTTTTAAGGGTCGCATTCCACGTCATTTTTTTTTTGGGTTCCGCGCCCAAAGCTAAAAGTGTAAAACGAGACCCTATAACTAAGACTCCGCTGTCTGTCTATCTGTCCGTCTGTCACCAGGCTGTATCTCATGAACCGTGACAGTTAGACAGTTGAAATTTTCATAGATGAATGTATTTCTGTTGACGCTATATCACAAAATACTAAAAAACGGAATAAAAATATTAAGTTGGGCCCCCATACAAATAACACACATGATTTTTATGCCATTTTTATAGATAACTAGCTTCTCGTCCGCGGCTTCATTCGCGTTGAATCCCTTAAATAAATATCTATCCCCTTTAAGAACCATTTATAAACCTTTTTCCAATTAATCCTATGTCCTTTCTTAGGCTCTAGACTGTCTGTGTACCAAATTTCATTTAAATCGGTTCAGTAGTTTTGGCGTGAAAGCAAGACAGACAGACAGGACAGAGTTACATTCGCATTTATAATATTAGTATGGACGTTACGGAACCCTTCGTGCCGGTTTTGTTTTTAATTTATGTGAAAAGTGTTAAGCGAACAGGCAGTTCACCAGATTTTTAGTGATTGCCACCACCCATAGACTTCTGCAACGCCAGACGTTAGTTGAAAGTATCACACTTCCACTGAACTGAGGTCACGGTACTGCCCAGGACGAGCCTGCCCATTCGTGCAACAGTGGAATCTGCGTGGTCCTATCACAGTTAATGCCCATAGAAGGTTATATACCCTTACTAATATTATAAAGGCGAAAGTTTGTATGTATTGATGGATGTTTGTTACTCTTCCACGCAAATACTACTGTATGGATTTTAGTGAAACTTTACAATAATATAGCTTATACATCAGAATAAAACATAGGCTATAATTTATGTACATATTTTTATGTATATCTGTGCTTCTGTCTGAATGTTACGCCTTCAGCCTATTCTACGCAGACGTAGTCGCGGGTAGCAGCTAATAAGTAATAAAACATAGCTTTTACCAATTCATACAACTATAACTTAATAATGACTCAATAATTGGATGACAATAATACTTAGGTCTTCCAGCAGACTAACAGTCTTAACTTCCAATAACCAAAAACTAACCCCGTGTAAGTACGTTGTACGAGTTGAATATATATTTCTCAAAACAAATACCAACCACTAATACTCTAGGGCAGTGATTCTCAACCTTTTTTTTGTTGCGGCACATATTTAAAGATTTCAAAATTTGGCGGCATACAAAGAAAAACATAAAAAATATTTACTTACTACAACACACTGCATAAATAGTTTATGAAAAAAATTTTAAATATACGAAATAAACAAATATATACTACAATAATAACTAAACGTTTATTAAGGGATTAATTACAAGCTAATAATAAAAATATTTTTAATGTGAAATTTGAGCTTGATGTTTTTTGATAATTTCATTTATATTTGGTCGTAAAAATGACAATGCTACTCTCATATCGTCTTCTACATTTAACAATCTTGATCTTTTTTTAGTTTTAATGTTCGCTAATTCCAAAAAATATTTTTCTTTTTAAATGATATAATTTAATAATATTAACATTATTATATATTTGCAAAATTTGGCGGCACACTTTTGAAATTTGGCGGCACACAAAAGTGCCGCGGCACAGTGGTTGAGAATCACTGCGCTAGGGTGTAGGAAATATCACGATGCAATAGTTGTCAAACCAACAACTTTTAAATGAATCACAACAAACTGTACTAATAAATGATTGATAAATTATAAATCAGATTAAATATGTAAAATAAATAACACTAAGCAACAATACAAAATGGGCACCGTCTATTTGTGCCTTCCTTCATCACTATATCTACTACGTCTTTTCATTCCTAATTTACAAAAGTTTATCTACGATAAAAAAAATCAGTGTTAGTATTAGCCTTTTGTACCCAGTAACGATTGCCTTGCTCTCGGCCTTAAACCTGACCTTCTATCTAGAAACTTACGCAAGCCCTACAATGACCATGTTCTACGACTCTTGGGAGACATAAGATTGTTAAGCCATCACTGGACCTTTCTCCTTTTTTCGGGTTCCGTACCTCAAAAGGTAAAAAAGGAACCCTTAGAAGATCACGATGGTCTGTTTGTCTGTCCGTATGTCACCATCGATTTTCTGAGGAACGGATGGACCTAGTAAGTTGAAATTCATACCAGATACTGAAGTGTATAGGCCCGATTGACTCAGGACATTGTCCTGAGTCATTACCATACAAGTAACCATAATTCAACTTAATTTTGAACTTTTTTTTTTTCGGAATTTTTCCTTTATTCATGTTTGCTTTTTTTCATGATTCTAGGTCAACGGGAACTACCATATAGGTTTTCGACCCAAAATCTATAGGGTAATTCCGGTGGTATATATATATATGACGTTTCGGCAACAAATGAAAAAGTCTCTGAATGTATGAATCGGTCGGTTGTAGTTGTATAGGATGTTACAAATTTGGTTTCTTTTGTATTCAATTAGTTTGTTTGAAAAATATATTAATTTAAATATGGATTTTTTAACGTTTTATATTTTTTTTATGATTATTGACAAGTAACGTTAAACGTGTTTTCATTTAATGTCACGGTTGTAACGACACGCTGTATGCGTATAGTAGTCCCGTTTTGTCCGAATGCAGCGGGGTCCGTCTATCCGTGCGGCTTGCGCTACGTGAACATTGTTTGTTTTTGAACCATAGACAATTTGGGACTTCTTCGGGACAGCCTTCTTTAATACACAATACATATATAACGAATAACGTATGTTAAGCGAAAACCTATCTTCTTTACATAGTATAAAACACTGTCTTCAAGTCTATATAAAACACTGGGTCGTACCTAAAATCGAGTTGCTCTTTTCGCAGGCAAGGAGGTGCAGAAGCGATGGCGCTCCATCCGCGACTCGTACACGAAAGCGTATAGGCAGGGAAAGTGCGTGCCCCCAGAGCAGTGCCCGCCCGGCACACGCCGCTACCAGTACCACCGCCAGATGTCCTTCCTGCACTTGGCCCTGCAGAACAAGTAAGCGACGCACACGGTTCCGTCTTTACCATAAGGGCACGCGGGGCCTTTGCCCAGGGTTTGTCGTCAGGCCTACATATTCGCTTAAACTACACGATCTTTTCTCTATTTTTGGTAGATATATTCCGACAGGAGTGTATAGAATAAATAAAAAATATAAGATAATAGCAGAAAAATTATTTTGTCATTCACTTTTCTTGCTTTCCATTAGGGCCCCAAATTTTATGTGCCCTAGGGCCCCGATATGGCCTAAGACAGCATTGGACGCACACTTCCCTTTTGCTTGCACAGCACGTACGCTGTGTCATTTTTCGCCATTATTCAGTAAATCAGCTTTGGACCTAAAGTCTTGTTAACGTTGCTCAACTCGCATGACTCCTACAGATCAAATAAAGAAAGACGTTTATTTCTCTACAAAAATAATACTAAAATCCATTTCCTTCACCCTATATTTGATATTGAACCTTAAAAAGTAGTAAGCCATGGCTTTTTCCCATAGAACAACTAAGCGTTTCCTTTCATCCTATATTCGCAATGATAGAAAAAAACTCAGATTAAAAACTTTTAATCCGAGTAATCGACAAAAAAAGAAAGTATTACGTTCGTGTTTCTTTATAGCATTTACGTGAAAACCGCTGATTATTAAATCAAAACTATTTGTACGGATTTTTTAAATGTGAATTGAACGCGACAAAAACCGTAAAAATAGTTAAATTCTTGTGCACATGGTATAATTTAGATCTAAGAACAGTTTTACTTTCAATACTATCACTTCGTTCCTTCGGCTAAAGAATGAATAACTCTTTTAAAAAAGCCCAATTTATTAAAAGGCGGCAACACATCTGCCCCCTTACGCGTGTTGCAAAAGCCAATGGGCGGCTGTTGTCGCTTAACACCAGGTAACCGCCAGCTCATTTGTCACCTTTTCACATAATAACTGTGGTAGGGCCACGCAAGCTGTTGTACGAATGGTAGGGCTCATCCGGGTAAGCACCACGACCTCACAGCACGTGGAAGTACAATACTTTCGTGTTTCGTCTGGTAAGTGAGGTAGCCGGAGGCCAATTTTCAAAAGGTTGTCAACGCATCTGCAACCCTTGGGTGTAGCAGATGCCAAGGGCGGCGGTATTCAATTAACGTTTGGCAACGTTTCACATAAAAACAAAATCCGTAATAAGAGTCCAAGTCCTTAGTAAGAGAGACGCCAACGCGACCTTTCGAACGTTCCAGAAAGCCGCGCTACTCGCAGGACAAGTACGAGTCTTACTCGGAGGTGTCCAACTCGCCGCAGCACCCGCCGCCCGAGGACGCGCCGCGGGTCAAGCACGAGCCGAGCAAGCTCGACAGGCCGCTCGACAGATCGCTCGACAGGCCGCTCGACAAGCCGCTCGACCTCAAAACCAAGCCCGACCTGCCGGAGAAGAGCCCACAAAGCGCTAAGCAGAGCCCGTCGCTCGAGATCAAGATAGACGCTAACGCAATCCTTCCGGAAGACCACTTCGATGACGACAGACTATTCATGAACTCGCTGCTACCGCTCTTCAGGAAGATGGACGACGACACCAGGCTGCTGTGCCGCATCGAGGTGCTGAAGATAATACGCTACGCGCTGCAGGGGAACAAGCGCTTCGAGCTGCAGCTGGCGGAGGACGGGCTGAAGCTCTTAGCGAAGGAAGAGATGCGGGCAAAGGCGTGTCCCGAGGGCAGGCTCTCGATGACCACCCGCTCGGCGGACGGCAGCCGACCGGTTAAGAAGCGACGTGTAAGTAGATAGTTCTAACACTCGTATAGAAGTAAAAGAAAAGTAACAGCCTGCGCATGTCCCACTGCTGGGCAAAGGCCTCCTATGGACCGTATCAGGGCTTAGTCCACCGCGCGGCCCCACTGCGGCTTGGCGGACTTCACATATCTTCGTAATAGTTCGCGTTTGGGCGCGAATCCCGACGACGTGGGTTCGATTGCCGCGGCGGCGAAAAACTTTTCGTACTGTTTTCTACAAATTACAGTATCACCTTAAATGAAGAGATCAGCACTACGAAAATTTTGAGAACATAATTTAAGTTGATATTTACAATCTTTATTGATCTAATATTTACAAGATTAAATCTATCTAAAATTACATATTATCTAATAAACCTAATCCATGCGGCATGGTGCAAAGAACGCTAGGTGCATTTCCTCGCTGAATAGTTATGCTTAAATTTAGAGTACATATAATTTAATGAGTGCGCGGTTGAACACACAGTTTCTACTTTACAGGCTCGCTCCCCGTCGCCGTTGCCGATGCCGCCGAAGAAAAGGGGCCCAGGTCGTCCGAGGAAGGTAAAGATTATATAAAATGAAACGGTTTTGTGGAAATTCTAACTTTAAGCTAAAGATAATAAAATAACTGGGGTAGGACCACGTAACTGACTACGCTGTAGCAGGAATGGGCAGGTCCGTCCGGGTAAGTAGCACTACCTCACAGAAGACCGGCGGGAAGTGGAAGTGAGTGAGGTAGTCGGGGCCCACTTTGTTAAAAGGTGAGAACGCATCTGCAACCGTACAGATGTTGGAAATTTCGGTGGGCGTAGGTTATTGGTGGACTTCACATATCATCGCAATACTTTATGTGGATATGTAAGAACTTAAAATTAACAATTTCAGATCGTACTCGGGTTTTAATCACGGTAGGGCCACGCAACAATCTTCTCTGTTGCACCAATGGGCAGGTCCGTCCGGGTAAGTACCGCGACCTCACAGAAGACCGGCGTGAATTAGAAATTTTGTACTTCTGCGTTTCGTCCGGTGAGTGAGGCAGCCGTTGCTCACTTTGTTAAAAGGTGAGAACGCATCTGCAACCCTACGGATGTTGCAAATGTCCGTGGGCGTAGGTTATCAGTTAACATCAGGTGAACCGCCAGCTCGCCTATCACCTTCTCACACAAGAAAAAAACAAGTACACACAAAAGGTCAAATAACACAAGAGTCAATTTTGGTGAGAACTAAAATTAATTAAAGGTACTCATTTACATATTCATAATCTCTGATCCGTTAGATATTGTGTTATTTAGTTTGCATTTGTGAATATTGCAATATTTTAAGGTATTGCGTACCTCTTTAAGGTATTGCGTGGCCAAATAAATCATCCGATTCTATTGCAGCAGATGAGGCTATGCGTACCAGAAGGATATTTGAGGAGAAGGCGGCGGCCGATGCTTTTATCTGTACCTAGATCACGGACTAATTTATTACGTTTTTCACCACTGGCTCGCGCGTTTTGTAATTTAAATACAGTAGCTAATGAATTAGATTTATTCCATTGCTCATTGAACTAGTTGTTCACATTGGCTACGATCCATGTTCTGAGTGTTTAGTTTTAGTTTTAGTTATAAGTATAGTTATATGTTATCTTAAACTGTATTTGAACTTCACTATCGCATTAGGTACAGCCTCTAACTTACAACTATTATTGTAAGTTGATGTATAAAATAAATATTGTTTTTGTTGAAAAAAAAATGTATTAATTAAATAAATTAGAATCTAATATAATTATAAAGGCTTCGGCTGTCGTGCGTAAGTTTCGGGTTTTTTAATGCGGGTAAAACTCAAAAACTAAATTGTTGCGTGGCCCTACCACAGTTAAAATGTTTGTTATCTATGTTCAAATTAAAAAAAAACAATCTGTTTGTGATTTTGTCGTAGTTGTGTTGGTGGTCTGCAGGATCTGGTTTGCTTTCAGGTGCGTCCCCCACCTTCGGACTCTGAGGAGGAGCATCCGCCCAGGAAGCAATTCCCCAAGCTGAAGGTCCCGCCAGTGGAAATTCCCCACCTCTCGGAGTACGACGAGACCCTCAGCAGGGCCACCAGCGTCTCGCAGCTGCCCAAGCCGCTGTTCATGCGGGTGAGTAGCCCCAGTGGGTGTGGCGGATTTGCCCTGAGGCCCGATAGGCCGGGCCTAGCGGCCAGTCGTGACAGAATATTCACTGATGATAACAAGATATATGATGGGCGCTGAGAAAGGGACGGCCGGAACTAACTACATGGGCTGGGGCGTAGGGCGTACAAGGCTACAAAACCGCCACTGCCAATGGGGCCGTTCATTAATCACGTGTGGTTTTTATAGCTTTTTAATCCCCCTCCTCCCCTCTGGTGGTACGCGGTGAGGTTTAAGACTACCAACCACCCCACACCCAAAATCACGTGTATTTTTTAAGCACCTACGATGAATCTGAGAATTTTTAGAATACCATCTTTAAATACAGGTTTAGAGATTGTTTCAAACCCCAAACCCCCCTGGTGATTTTCCGTTCGCCGCAACTCTTCATCAAATTTGATAACGGTTTTGAAGCTAACTATTGACGGCAAAAATATACCACTACGAAAAGATTAAAGTTTTTATTTAAAAAAAAAAACTTTGATTTAGATATTCCTTATACACGGTGCATAATAATGCCATCTATTGACAATTTTTTTAAATGATAAACAGCGAAATTAATTTTTATTACTGTGCGAAAATTTTGAACAGTAATAAAAAGTTTGAATATAATTTGTGAAATTATATTACCTATATCAGTGTTGCCTGAAATTTTTATAACCTTTCACAGAGTTAATGTGTTTTTCCTCAGATGTACAATTTGGAGAGGTCGAAACCGACACTGGCGACACCACCATCGCCGCAGAGCATGCAGGTGTCCGTCAAATCGGAACCAATGGACACCTACGAATCCTCGCTGAGCCATAATACCTTGTAAATATTGATACCATATTTGCATGCGGCGCGTTCAGCAATGTTACCATATAAGTGAATTTGAACTTAGTGCGATAGTTGTAAAGTGTATTTTTCAATGTGTTTAAATGTGTAGAGTTGGAGTTAGTGTTGGTACCCGTCGTATATCAAACTGTTGGACCAATTTAGTGAAGAAATTATTTTTAAGGACACGTTCGTCAGGTAGATATTTCGAAAGAGAGTGTGAAGTAAATTCTCTTTATCGCCTGTTGTCTTGAAATCGTATTAAGTTACACATATTTCGGGTAATATTTTTTTATTCTTGCAACATTGTTTATGGAGTGTGATTTTTTTATGTTGGCGGTACCCTATATATTATTTTTTATAAATGAATGTATTATGTGTTGAGTCTTAGATCGTTTATTTGAATGGAATGGAGGGAAATGTGATAATTTTAGTTTTAAGTTATTGTTCGGTTAAGAAATTTGAAAAGAAAAACGAAATTTTAATGAATTATAATATAAATATTATGCATAAGGCCTTGAGAAACAATAGTGCACTGCTCGATAAATTGATTGAACAGCAAGTTTAACATACTTACTTTACACTTGTTCGATGAATAAAAAATATTGTAACTCTTTTTTGTGATATTGAACATGTGTAAGTCAATGCTTTTTAGGTGGCGCCAGACTGGAATGCTTATTAGCGATTTTGGTTTCGCCATTTTGAACTTGCTCTGTCGAGTCCAGAATCTAGTTATCCCTTATTAGAACTACCAAATATTTCAATACACCGGATAACAGATTATGTTACAGCTGTATACCGACGTATAGTGGGAGCAAGACAGAAAGGTTTTTGGACTGCAGTGCGAACGAGAGGGCAACACCCTGTCCGAGCAGCCATCTTGCTCCCAGAAACCCATTAAGTGTAACTTAAACTTCAACGGCACCTTAAATTTTCACGTGATTACTTTTATAACCTATACTTTTATAAAACCTTTATCCGATGTACGAATGAATACTGTCCATTCTAACAGATTGTACTTTCAATGTTTTTTTTTATGATCCTCGCGTTTAAATTGTAAACGTATCAAACTTGCTCAATTTTAGATTGAAACGCAAACATTGCTTTAGGAAACTTGAGACGCTTTTGTTACATTAGAAATTGATCGACATCGATATAATTTTCCTTTAGTGATTCTTTTAAATTATATCGCCTATAACATAAGTAAGGCACCGTTTTATTTCTTTTTGTTATGAATTAAAAAAAAGATTTAGTCTAAATTATTTATGGAATCGTTTCTTTCTCCTGTCCATTAATCGAGCTTATTACATTTCGCATCCGAATTGACAAGTTAGCGCGCCATTTAAAGTATGCCGTCACAAAATGGAGTCATCGAAGATATTGCCATTTAACTAAGACACATGTCAGGATGTTCAAAATACGGGCGGTATGTATGAAAAAGGATAAAATAGAGTTCGTATTTTATTGTGGAAGCATTTCTAGTTTTGTAAGTTATTCTCGTAAGTGTAAACATACGTAATATTCATTAATTATATTTGGTGTTGTAACTCAACAAATCGATATATGGGGAAACTTTATCAAGCCATCTGTATTTGATCCTAAATTAAATGGCATTGATTTTGCATGCATCTGAATATACTAATTTGTTGATGTTTTGTCTGTTTCGTCTACATTCCATAATGTTAAGACAATAACCGATCATGTGGTAATTTTTTGAATGTATCTACGTCTAGGAATGTGAAATAAATAATTTTACATAATTAATGTTTTATTAGAAATAACACTCCTATCTTAGTTATAATATTTTTGACATTACAAATAAGTTATAAGTTACATGCTGTTAAAAAATTATCACCCTAAAAGATAGTTGTATTTTATTTTGTTTCTGTTAACGTCGCTTTCGCTTGTTCCTTACATAAAGTATTTTAAAATGCCGGAAAGAGAAAAAAAAAACTGTTAGCCGTCAACATTTACTACAGAGTAAATGTTGACGGCTAACAGTTTTTTTTATTATTATTATTCGTAATTCTGTGTATTTAATGTATTTTGCAAAGATAAAAAACATAATTTTCTTAACAGTCGAAAATGATGTCAACCTGAGTGCAGTATGTCTTCAACTGGCGAGGTTAGTGCCATGTCATGAAATATGACTTTCAAATCTTGCCTTTGTGGTGAGCAGCACATAACGCCGACGAAATAACTGTCCGCAGAAGGAAAAGGGCAGAGCCTCAATAGGTGCCAAGTAGATTTATCCGAGGAGTATTTTACGCATACAACTTTATCAACCCTCGATAGACGGATCCAGAACCTGTTAGGGTTACCTGTGTAAGTACCTGAAAAGCAATACTTAGATGCAGACAACCATTTCTTAGGTCCGAACGGAATTGTCTTAAGTCTTTCCTATCGGCTTGATCCTTTGGCTCTACGTAGAGATGTTGGCTCACCCTACATCTTCTACCGTATCTATGGAGTGTCCCGAGGAATTGTTTGGATTGATCCCGGTGGCTGAATTACACCATCGGACATCGCGCCGGAATCAAAAAATTTCATCCACACCACCTCGATGTCCAGCTTTCCACAAAGCGCGATTTTCAAGGCATTTCCTGCCTCGCACAATCGCTCTGTTGAACCAGCTGCCGCCGGCGGTCTTTCCGAACCGTTACGACCTGGGGACCTTCAAGAAGAGGGCCTACTCTTTCCTAAAAGGCCTGCGACGCATTTGTGAGCCCTCGGCTGTTGCAGGTGTTCATGGACGACGGTAATTACTTACCATCAGGTGAACCTCCTGGTCGTTTGCCCCTTTAGTCCATAAAAAAATTTTGATTTATAAAATAAATTAGTGCGCATTTTACACCCGAAACATGAAAGATCTAAGACAGTGGCGATAAATCATTTTTAACGCCCGCTTTCTGAAACACTGATCATCGTAGAAATTACTAAATCGGTTGTCCAGTTTCAGATACATAAAAGTACTTTTTGCGGTTGTCAAATGGTTTGTCGTAAATCTGCTATGTCAAATTTGACCTTCAAGGGGGTGCCAAGAATGACCATATACTCGGCATTTTATTTTTCGCTAGCAAAATACTACCTGTTGCCCAATCTGACACATCATTGGTCAGAACACTGCCCATCATCGGCTGTCCATCGTTGTATTCGATGCCCGCCTTAAGCCAATGTTTTTCATCTAAATATATCATAACACCGGCTTGGTCGTACAGTGTTGTAAAATTTGCCTCCACGCATACCTGAGATTGTAACCATTGATGTTCACTTATATCAAGAACAAATTTACATTTTATACTCATTACGTAATACAATTCGATATTCGTTGGCGCAGTTACGAAGGCATTTGCTCCGGCAGCGGGGTCGTGGGTTCGATTCCCACATACGACTACTATTTGACCCGCAGATAACGGTTTCGAATCTTGTTTGTCCACGTGAAATTTATATTTGTTAAACGTCCCTACAACACAGGATAATGTTACCTACAGTAAAGGCTACGTTTAAAAGAATAATAATTAAAAGAATACCATTTACTTATTTCAGCAGACAAAAATACATATATTCTGATGGTCCTTTGTTTGTTTTGAACCAAGAATGTTGTCAGGATGATGGAATGCTCACAATATATATGTGCTAATTATAGTTTCAATTTGCGATAAAATACTACTAGTAAATTATATTTGATGCATATCATAATTACCTCAATGGTAAAGTTATCTTTGATATCTATCCCATACACATGCCCAGTGTTAAATTTAAATCCATAGTAAGTTTCTTGCCAAAAATCTGATTTTAAATTCGTAAACACTTCCAGATTATCACGAAACAAATTCCACCTTTTTGGTTCATTTAACCATTTAAAATCCAGCCAGGTCACTTTTCCAAAACTATTAGATTGCATATTGGTTACTGCTTACGTAAGTGCTATTATAAAATTGATGCTTTTGTTTTGAATAAGTGATTATAAGTGGTAAGCTCATAGATAAGATAATAACAAGAATATGACAATTAATGTCTTGTATACACTTTTCACTTTGTACCAATGTGTTGATTTGTAACGTAAAAGTGTACAACTATACCTACTATTATATATACATATTATTACTTTACAGATATACCTATTATTTTCTTTGTTGTCTTTATTTTCTGTTTTCATAGTTTTCATAATTATGTTTTCGTTGGAAATAGTGTATATTTAAAGATATTTTGATTGTGTTGCTGCTAATTTTCATGATTAAGAACATTAAACATGTTATTATTTATTATTTATTTATACTTTATTGTACACCAAAAATAAAAATATATAAAAAGCAAATTACAAATGAATATAAAAGGAAGTACAATACGCGGTCTTATCGCTCAGAAAGCGATTTCTTCCAGACAACCATTGTGAAAAGAATATTTCCTAATGAGACATAAAGAAGAGAGCGGGAGGTGTACATGAATCACTTATGAACATCGGATGAAGGCATTTATACTTCAATGAGATAGTCAAAGATTTCGGGAAAAATAGGAAAGGAAAAAGGAAAGCGTGAATTCACAGTTCCAAGTAATAAGCTTTTAATTGGTTTTTAAAAGAAAGAAGTGACTTAGCTTGTCGAATGTGAAGGGGCAAAGAATTCCACAAACGCACAGCTGTCACTGTAAAAGATTTTTTGAAGAAGGAAGAGGAATGTACAGGAGTTTGGAGGGAGAGATTGGCAGAAGAACGAAGGGACCTTTCATGGGATAAGGAAAGATATTCGAAGCGATCTTTTAAGTATTTCGGAGTAGAGGGATTAAACAACACACTGTACAAAGCAGTGAGAATATGGGTATTCCTGCGAAGGCGGATTGGGAGCCACTTGAGCTGTGTACGAAAATCATGTTTCCGACATGATCATATTTACGAAGCCCAAATATGAATCGAAGACACAAATTTTGAATCCGCTCAAGTTTATTAAGCTGTACTTCGGTAATGTCAAGATAGCAAATATCAGCATAGTCAAGGATGGGCAGAAGTAGTGAATGAGCGAGCGCAACTTTAGTAGCAGTAGGAAGAAAATTACGCAGTCTTCGTAAGGAGCCTATAGCAGAGAACATTTTCTTACTAGTCTCATTTACCTGTGGTGTCCATGTCAGACAGGCGTCAAAAAATATTCCCAGATTCTTCACCTTCATCTGTTATGATATCCAAAAACTGTATTCATCATACATTTTTCTAGATATTGTACATGTTTTAAAGTATAGAGACTTTTCATAAACTACGTTTTAATAATTTAATAATTGCCAATAGATTCCGAAGCTATGAAAAATTATTCATTCGCAAGCGCACAGTGTACAGGATTATTATTTGGATGTATCCAGTGGCCATTTAATAAAAATTACTATACTGTAAATTAAGAAATAATGTTTATTTATTTATTATACCAGCACTTTAATACAAACTACAAACTGCTTCAAACGGCGGGATTAATTCCATAGCCATTGCCATATCGATACCTTAATTGGCAAACCAGCTAACTCCACCTTTGGTCAAAAATATTTTTTGGCTTTGATTGTACGCAATAATAATTCCGCTTGATTTGCAAAAACAATAACTCCGATATAATCACTATTTCTTTCTATAAATTGCTGTTCGTAAATCAGCCAACTCCGCATGTCACGGAACGTTACAATTTTAACAGCCAACTCCACCAAGTCGGCTATTTCGTTTGGCGTCCGAGTCATGTACGGTTACCGCCCTACGTTATTTGGAAAAAAAACTATATAAACGCAACAAAAGGAAAGATAGTGTTGAAATACAATTGAACATTAATACACAGTATGGATACTTATTTTATTTCTTACAAAACAGTTCTAGGTAATTGAGCAATTCTAAAATTTATTATTGGCTTTGAGTTGGCCGGCTTGCTTCTTATTTTATTACGCTACGGTTGGAAGTGATACATTTTAAAGTTTATTAAAAATTTTAATTAAATTTGATGATACCAATAAACCTGACTCTTTTCTGGTTCTTAATAACCAATTTTCAAAACACATGATACTTTGAACATGATAGCGTAGCTTCTAATTTATCGAATTTATTTGTGCAAGTGTGCGGGAAGTCGATGGATACAGGTGGCTCAGGATCTTACTTCGTGGCAGTCTATGGGGGAGGCCTGTGTTCAGTGGACTCAAATAGGCTGAAATGATGATGATGATTTTATAACAACATTTATTGTATTGGAAATGAACTGTCTGCTATGGAGTATACGCAAACATAATTATGAAATTGTTCTTAATGAAGACATATTTCCGTTTGAAAAAGAACAATTCAGTCCAAGTTTGCTATCTGGTCACCTTACACCATCACTTAAATACAATCTTGAAAATGCCTCTAAGTTTTAAGCCAGCTCACCTCTCTACAAGTAATGATAAATCGGATAACGGTTAGGTCGTTCCTTTGATACAAAAACTACTAAAAAATCAAGAAACTAGACTATTGTAAGTAAAAGAGAAATAGTGTTATCCAATGTCATAATATTTCTGAAGATGAAGGAAAAATATTATTTGATAAATTTTTAAATATGACGGGATAAAAAACAAATTTACGTTGATAATTTAATAAAAAATTTAGATACAATTAGGCAAAGAGAAGAAAGACCCTTAAAAATGTAAGAAAGTTAACGCTTTTATATACCACCCTTCAAAACGTGTGTATTCATGATATGAAAACTAGAGATGGGTGTTCCTTTCTATGGAATGAAGGCAAAGGCTGCGTTCTGATTAGTTTGCAACAATTTTAACCAATTTCTTAGTTGATAAAGTATTTCTAGCAATAGAATTGCTATTCATAAGAAGATGACAACAGATATTAAAAAATTTAACTAAATTTGATGATACCAATAAACCTGACTCTTTTATGGTTGTTAATATCCAATTTTTAAGACCCTACGACGCTTTGGTTGTACATTTGAAAAAAAAAGAAAGTTTTATTTAAAATAAATCTATCAAGAAAACCAGCTAACTCCCAGATCACATACTTTTGCACGAAAGAAAAAACGGATAACTCCTAAAAAACGCTGTAGTATGGTAATGAAAATGTATAATAGATTTTATAATATCAAAAATGACAATTTACGATAATATCCACCAACTATATTTTAGATTTTCTTATAAGTACTCTAAAAAAAATATTATACAGTTTTAAGTGTCTCCTGTAAAACTTGCCCATATGGAGTTAGCTTGTTTGCCAATTAAGGTATCGATATGGCGTTTTCTACCAGCCAACCGGTTTCAGTATATAAGTCTTATCTATGCAGCCAACCATAAAGTTCATGAGAGAAACCGGAAATTGTAGGTGTTAGTAGAACTATATAGGTATAAGATGTATACTTATGTTATTATAAAATATTAAATACCTATGTACAAAAATAATATATATCTATATTTACATAAATACCAATATAATAAACAAATGCTTTTAATGCGTTGCCGGCCTTTTAGGAAAGAATATGCTCTCTTCTTGAAGGTTCCCAGGTCGTAACGGTTCGAAAAGACCGCCGGTGGCAGCTGTTAGTTAGAAACAGTTCTCATAATGGCAGTCTAACACAAAATGCTATTCTGTCCAAGTTATTACTTATTAGATAATGTCACTTATTGCAAATTTTAATCATTAAGCTTAAACTCTTTCATGCGTTCAGAACTCTCACTATGTCGTCCGTGAGGGTCACTTCATCCACTCAGCCTTCGTTCCGTTACGGACCAAGCCGCACTTGAACTCGCGTGCTTGCTCCACTCAGGATCTCCAACGCGAGCTTCTGGCTCCGCATTTTTATATTCACTCTAGAGTTAGGACCCGCAAGACCATATGAAATAGTGCTCTGTGTGTATATAATATGTGCTCTGTGTAGAATCTTTGACTCACTTTGAGTCTAACCTAATCCACTATAAGAAACCACAGAATACCATTATTTCTTGTTCTACCTATTGCGGCAGAATAACATTTCTTACCTTACCAATAGTGGTGGTATAATTATTTTTACAACATGGCCACTGGTGGCAGACTAGACAAAGTTTTATACATTTCAAACCGATTATATTGTCAACTAGCTGACCCGGCGAACTTCGTACCGCCTAACAGTCGATTCTTTAATATTTTTTTTTCAACACTTATTCTGCTAATCGGGACACCGGGTCAATCATCGATAGTTTTTGGTAAATACTAATGGTTTCTGCAATATTATCGATACTATCGCATGAATTACTATCGATGCTATCGATAGTATTGATGTAATCAATAATTATGGCACTTGGAGAGCCATCGATACTATAGTCAGTATCGTCAGTATTGACTTACACGATATTATCGGTAGTACAATCGATATCCTGAATAGTTTTTGAGGTCAACTATCGATAGTCGTAACTATCGATGTTGGGCAACACTACCACAGAGTCCACAGACAATTGGAAGAGTACTATACTACCAAAGATCGTAGTATACAAAGACCTTACACTTACAAACTAGTAAGTGTAAGGTCTTTGTATACTACGATGCGATGCTAACTATATAAGGCCGAATCCGAGAAAGACTCAAATTTACCATTCAGATAATAGCTACCGATCGAGCCGAGGTCCGGCCCTCTCGGGCACCCTCGAATCGGAATGCTAAACGCGTATTGAGTGACAGCCCAAGCCGAGGTCCCCACTCGGGGACACTTGAGCTTAGTCACTCCATGGAGCGTCTGCCAAAGTGTCCTAAGAGCGTGGCGAACTCCCAAACCGGTGATAATCATAGCGTGACGGCCCGCGCCGAGACTCCCTCGGGAGCCCTCGAGCTTAGTCACCATAATGCATAATAATAATAATACGCCGAGGTTCAGGCTACGCGCCCCGTGCGCCAGGCCACCTCAAGTCCGTCGGGTCTCTAAAGGTCACTAAGGCCAACAGTGGCTCAAGCCCAAAAAAAATAGACTCAAACTTGCTTATTTCATCTACGTAACAACAAAGAAGCAGGCCGCAAGCTTAATATCCAATTGAGCGGAATGCTGATTTAATAAAATAATTAAGTATTTAAAATTTATAATGTAATATAGTCATAACCTGGGTAAAATAACATTAAGTGTATTTTAAGTTAAATAAAATCTTCAATGGATTATTTATATTTTCTTTTTTTTTTACTGATGAAATATTTATCGATATTTATGGTGAATTGGTTTACAAAGTTCTGTACAACGCCCCTCACCTAAACAGTTTCTGAATTTCTACAAAATGGTTTCATTTCCGGCGGCGGCAACACGGCGCGGGCGCGATGAACGGCGTCTGTTTATGAGAAAAGCAAAATTTATTTTTGTTTTTAGATAGCAGTAGTTAAAACTTTTATTGAATTGATTGAATATATTTCGTGATAATTACTCCCCGAAATGGGCAAACCAGGTAAGCAGTCTAACGTTTTTAATATGTAAAGAGTTATAAACCGCGTGGTATTTAAATAATTTTCATGGAAATTACAGAATGTTAACTTAATCTAAATAATTATAAGCAACACAATACGTTTAATGACAAATAGTTTAGTTGAATGTACTTAGAAGTTTTGTGTATAAGTTTTGTTTATTCAAGTGGGGTTAGGATTTAAAGAAATTACTTTTTCTGTTTATTAATAATTGAAATCTAATGCGATTTCGTTATTTTGCATTTTAAAAAAAATCTCGTGGAACTATCGATTTAATACCGGTTTTTTAATGTGTAACTATTTACATAGGTTATGTTTCACGTGGGGGTGTAAAAGCACATGTTATGTCGTATAATAAATTTATATCTTACCTATATGTAACAACGCCAACTGAATTACTCTAGTGGAATTTAACATTCCATCGAAATCCCTATGATTTTTGTAATCATTAAAACCTCAAGCCAAGGCAGAAAACTTTAAGATCTGTAACAGGCGCTTCTTAATACATTATTCCATTGAAGTAACTCGTTATTAACTGCAAGTATTTGTATTTCCTGCAAATACCGAATAGATGAAATGTATATATAATATTTTGTTTTCAGAATTTAACAGTCCACGTGGCGGTGGTCGTGGCGGCGGCCGAGGTGGTGGCTTTAGGGGTGGTCGTGGCGGGGGCGGCGGCCGCGGCGGCTTCGGAGGAGGCGGCGGAAAGTTCGAGAAAAGGGGCGGGGGCGGAGGCCGGGGTTTCGGTGGAAGAGGCGGAGGTATGTTTTATAACAGTCAAAGAGTTCCTGAACTGTTAGTTCAAGGAAATAAAAGAACTGACTAGACATCAATTTGCTTGATAGACTTGAACTAGATAATATATTTATGATCATGATGATAAACTGGTCCCTCTAATCTTGACCTATTCATGAAGACTATGATACCACATACCCACTTCTGACTTCAAATGATATCGAAAAATGTATGAATAATAATCCCGCTGGCATTGTATTAATTATTGGATGATCTATGATCCATGTAGGCCGTGGTCGCGGTGGACCCAGCAAACGTGGTGGTGGCGGTTTCAAAGGAGGGAAACAAGTTATAATTGAACCACATAGGTCAGTATATGGTTTTTCAACTAAAACTTTTACTTGGATAGTGCAACACATGTAATCCGGAGTTAATTAGTATTGTAAGATGTTGTCCAAGCAAGATTTTATAGGTATCATGTTTTTGAAGTCTTTGATGACAACATTATTTTCTACTTGATTTTACATTAAACATTGTACATTTTTTTTTTTTCATTTTAATGTGCCTAATATAGACCCTAGAATCATTATTGTTACTGGTGTTCCGTCAATGTATTGCTCTATCTATAAAGATAGAAAACTAATAGGCCTTAGCATGTAAAGATAAAAAACTAAAATGATAAAAATATTGTGCTTTTGGTATAAATCTTAAGACTAAATTTCTTTTTCCAATAATGGTTAATCAACAAAATACCTAATATCACTAAGTTGTCTCTTATGAACCAATATGATGCAAATATACATAACTTTCGTTCTTCTGAAAGCGAATGCTTGAAGCCAAATTTGTTTCTGATCTCACATGATAGTGTAAAAATTAAAAATGCTTATATATGATATACCTATATTAAAAACTTGTCTGTTTGCAGACATCCTGGAGTTTTTATTGCAAGAGGCAAAGAGGACGCTCTGGTCACAAAGAATTTGGTTCCTGGCTCTGAGGTTTATGGAGAGAAAAGGATATCAGTAGAGGTTTGTACTTATAGCTTGCAGATATTTACAGTGACTGAAATGATAAATTATTAAAAATTATACAGTGCAAGTGTGATATAACTTTTTTTTCGGTTTTTTATTATAATTGTTAGTCAGGTTAAAATGCACCTTAGATCATAAATTATCTAAGCTTATCTTTATATACATCAGCTATCATAAGAAAAGAATGTTTTTCTATGTTCCGATTATTATAGATGAACATAGTATTATGATAGTGTTTCTTATATTTACATGTTGTTTTCGAAAACCAAATGATGATTGTGGTCCCTCTAATCTGGACCTATCCATGAAGACCATAACCACATACCCACTTCTGATTTCACCATAGCTGTAATAGAACTAAGTGATCACTTAGGTCATGGAATAAAAGAATGCACGTTTCTTCCAGACTGAGGGTGAAAAAGTGGAATACAGAGTCTGGAATCCATTCAGGTCAAAATTGGCAGCCGCTATCATGGGCGGTGTTGATGCAATACACATGCCTCCCGGCTCCAGGGTTCTATATCTTGGTGCTGCCAGTGGAACAACTGTTAGCCATGTCTCAGACATTGTTGGACCTGTGAGTATATTGTGAATAGAGTAAATAAGTTTAATCATAAGTTTATTTTTTATTTCCTTTTAGTTATACAATTTTAGACTTAGTGCTAATACATAATAATGTTACAAATAAGTACAATATATCAATAGCATCCGTCGGCGAACTAGGTTTTGAGAACCTGTATTTCAGCCTTCGGCGCCATTCCCCATATTAATAAAAGGATACACTGTATTGGACAGTATCGAAATATAACTGCTGGTTGTTTTTGTTCATTTCTCTTTTTAATATATTCCATTGCGGTAATCCCACATGACAGCGTCCACTGTTGCCCGAGTGGGCAGGCAGGCCGGGGAATTAGTGAAGATACACAAAAAAGTACATCATAACTTGTTGAATTTGTACTATGAAGCAAAATATCTGATTTTTAAATTGGATGAAAGGTACCTCCATATAATCTTACCAATTACTGCAAGTAAAAGAAAATAATGTTTTATTGTTAATTAATTTCTCAGTATGATATAAATTAGCTGCAGAATTGAATTAATTATTCTAATTAAAATGATGAAAGTGATAGTTCTGGACCTATTCATGAAGACTATACATTCACTACCCACTAAACTGATTTATTATGAAAAGTTTTATCTCTTTGTTAGCGTACAAACCTATCTACAATTGAAACTGTCTTCACAGGAAGGTCTCGTGTATGCGGTGGAGTTCTCTCACAGATCCGGCCGTGACTTAATTAATGTTGCAAAAAAGAGGACAAACATTATTCCTATAATAGAAGATGCACGGCATCCATTAAAATACAGGTTAATATTGTCTATATTGCATCTAATTAAGAGTAGTTTTTTTAAAGGAAAGGTTTTTCAGCATACTTATTTTATTAATAATATAGAGAAAAAAAATATTAATCATTGCTCAACATCAAGGCAGTTTTGAAGTATTTAATTCAAACATAGGTGGTTAATTTATAGTACTATTACAGTAAAACCCTCTAGGGTTTTGTGTCATTTCCTATTTACATTGAATGAAAACAACAAAATTAAGTTTTGGTGAAAGCCAAATTTTCTATAGATTTACATGATGACAAACCTATGAACTAAATTTTTCATGTTGAAAAAAATTGAACTCTCTCTCTGATGTACTTTAATTATTACTTGAACATGCTGTGTTAAAAAGTAAGTTAAATTTGACATTTTCCCTTGCAGAATGTTAGTGGGCATGGTTGACACAATCTTTGCGGATGTAGCGCAGCCCGATCAAGCCAGAATAGTCAGTTTGAATGCACAGCACTTCTTGAAAAATGGTGGACATTTTGTTATATCAATCAAGGTGAGAACCAGAGGCTATAAATAAACAAGAGATTTAACAATTATTCATATAAATAATTCAAATTAAGACATTTTTGAAAATTATTAGGGTATTGTTCTATCACGTTAGATTTGTGAAAACATTCCAACCGGTTTCTTTTGGTTCTTGTGTGTTAATCCTTATGTAATGATTGTGTTACGAAAATACATATTAATAAAAGCTTAAAGTTGGCTTTGAGATGAGGGATAAGATTTGAAAGGGCAATACTATCCTAATAGATATACTTTATTATCAGAAGCTAACTCTAAGCATATTTAGATACTTTCGAGTAGTAGAGACATGAGAACATTACACTACAAAGACTTCCCATGATGATTGTAAATATCTAAATCTTTCATGTTGAAAGAATTGAACTCTCTCACTGAGGATGCCTCCATAACAATGCGGTAGGCATTGTACCCGTCACTACCATTTGTTAAAATCAAACTCCATTGCAGGCGTCGTGCATAGATTCAACGGCGCAACCGGAAGCTGTCTTCTCAGCGGAGGTGAAGAAGTTGCAAGCGGACAAACTAAAACCTCAGGAACAGTTGACGTTGGAACCATACGAAAGGGACCACGCCGTGGTCGTCGGAATGTTCAGACCCCCACCTAAGAAAGCGTAGCAGTAAATAGTGATTATGCGGTCGGAACAATTTTGCTTGAAGGGAGACAGTGCCATTGGAATTAAATTTAATTACTAATTTAAGTATGATCAGGCAAATTTAATATATTTTTAATTCATTAGGGCCAGTTTTTAAACCTAGCAAAAGTTTTATTCGGTAAAGGAATCAATATTTCTTTTTATAAATTCTTTTATTAGAATTGGAAGATGGTTCAGTGCTTTTTAATTTTTTGTGTCGTCATGGAGTTCTTCTGCAAAGTTTTAAGTGTGGAAAAGACTGTCTTACATTTACAACGGAAGGTCTCTAGATGTTACAATGTAATAATTAAACCAAAGACGAAGAAACGTCACTGTAACAGTACTTTTAGTATTTTTAAAAATGATTCCTTAGGAGCTTTACATTTAACATGTTGTCAACAACAAAATTGCGGACTTTCTTCGTGAAAATAACAAGTTGTAAATATTTCTTTTCTCGAAAACTATAAGCGACTGGAGAATTCTGCTTGTTGATTATTTCATTAGTGATTTTATTTGCCGATAACATTTTTGTTAGGTCGAAAAATACCCAGCGCTAATGGCAAATATTACCTTTAATGTTTTGATTCAGGAGGCAGATTGCTTACGGGTCAGTAATACAATTGATTTCAATGGCATTGCTTATGAAATGTTCCCAGAGTTCTTGTCAGTTAAAAAATTTCATAGCAACTGATTGACCGTTCTAGCGTAAGTTAGATTTAAGTGAGAGTACATACATGTGGTATGTTGTGAAGATATTGAAATATATGGTGCGAATGATGACATTGTGTATTATTTGTTGTTGTGAAAAAACTCCATTTTGCAGGAATGTAGTTTTGCCATATTCTTTATGATTGACACTTAAAATCTTGTATGTCATTTTAGCGTTACTAACCGTAACTTGCTCTCAACTACCAAAGGTTAACTGGAAGAAAATGCTATTTAGCATTAAGTTATCCTTTGTACAAACTTTTAGTACAATAATGAATATACAAACAATGTAGGTGAAGTTGACTGAACTTATTTTAATAATATATGTTTTATAAGCCTTTTATCTAGCTAAGTAAAAAGGCTACTATTGCCTAGCCTAGACGTTTCCAGAAGGGGTATGTAAATGGTACTAGATCTCCGACTCAACCATTTCTACAGTTTACTTCAAACGAGCATCTTCTAGATCTTAAACTTTCGACAATTTCCGATGTGGCTTTAAGCCATTTGATGCGACAACAAATTTTGCTCTCTAGCCATAAAAGTAAAGTAAAGTAACAGCCTATACATGTCCCACTGCTGGGCAAAGGCCTCCTCTGTACAGAGGGTATTGCGATTTTCACATACTTCGAAAAATATTTTTTTTGTTATTATTTCGAAAATATGCAGGTTTCCTGCCACGTGATAAGATCGGCTTAAAGTTAAAAACTTCATTGGTGCCGGCACCGGGGATCGAAACGCTCATGATCGGCTTGAAACGCATTCGACGAATAAAAAATTGCACGACAATCGGCGTTTTCAGCACAGTTATGAATTTAAATTAATTTCGAATACCGTACATGAGAAATCTCCAGCAGTGCGCTTGTAATTGCTGCGATAACGATTTTTAGCGAGCAGCAGTAATTAATTTAGCCAGTTATAAGATAAACGCCCGGTTTCTGTAACACTGATCATCGCAGAAATTAATTCAGCAGTTAATGGCTTTTCAAATCTGTACCTCCTAATATAAAGGCGAAAGTTTGTATGTATGGATGGATGTTTGTTACTCTTTCGCGCAAATACTATTCAATGGATTTTAATGAAACTACAATAATATAGAATCAGAATAAGACATAGGCTATAATTCATGTATATGTTTTACTAGCTGCTGCCCGCGACTAGGTTTGCCAAGAATAGGCTGAAGGTGTAAAATTAAGACAGATATAGGTACATTAAATATGTAAGTATATAAATTATAGCCTATGTCGTTTCATTAAAATCCATTCAGAAGTATTGGCGTGAAAGAGTAACAAACATCCATCCATACATACAAACTTTCGCCTTTATAATATTAGTAAGGATTATATCTGATCTGGATGTATATTGAATGTTGAATGTTACGTCTTCAGCCTATTCTACGCAGCTGTAGTCAAGGACAGCGGCTAGTAACTCCATATATTTCAAGAATCATTTTTTCTTACACCATTAAAATCGCAAGAACAAATTCTACATAATAGTACAAAGCATTAAATCCTACGACGCCTAATTAATAAAATTTCCAATCATATGGCATCATAATCAATAATGCGTTCAAGGTTTCACTAACGCATTTTTGCCTCCTGTAAAATTTGTGTTTTATCTCATAATGCTGGTTACCTCTGAGATACAGAAATGTCATTTGAGTTGCCAAAAGGATGGTTAAACTCTGAATTGATCTTTAATCGGCGTGACTTTTATTAAGCAATGAAAGGTCTCTTCATTCATTCTCCGATAATTTCGACAGTCGCCTGGATCAATCTTTAATCACCGACACTATTGAGAAACGAAACAGTACTGATGATGGACGGCTAAGGACTGTGTGAGCTAAATCCTGCTTCGCAGTTTTGCATTACCAGGCAGGATAGTGAGGGGGCCCCTTTAAACCCAAAATTAAAATGAGTGAAAAATCTTTCAGTTCCAAATTTTATCTCTAGACTCCACATTGTCTTTTCTACACTCTTCTACATACAGGGTGGAATTTCGTAATGTCACCTAATACTGTAGATAGAAAATACGACTCGAACAAAACATTTCTTTATTTTTGAGTAGAAAGAAAACAAGATTTTCAACAATTCGCTTGCCACAACCAATCATTCAAAAATGTATTTATTCAAACAGACACTTGCGCGTTCTTATATGAATCGTCAAATTTTACATAAAAGATTATATATATAGGTTCGAAAGGTACCACCGGTTCGGTAAGCAGTTTCTGTTAAGAGACCTGCAAGAAACTCAACAGTTGCTCTTTTTCAAAAATATCAGTTTACAATATAACATAATAGTCTTATTCTAGCCTACGTGAGTATCAACTCCACCTATTGGCGTCGTCGAGATATTCCGCAATGGTATAATATGCTTTAACCATAAGTCGACTTTTCCAATTTTAGGTTTATGGCTCCATCAACATATAACTTGATGATTCTGAAGTCGACTTTTAATTTTACGTTTAAATTGATCAAGCGGCAGACTTAATATCGACTGTGGGATTTTATTCTACATGCACACTTTGCCTCAAGGAGTGAAGAACCGATTTATTACTTTTAGTAGACGAAACAATGGCGTAAGTAAGTTTGTCCTTATGTCTGTCACTACTCTTTAGGTAATAATTAAGGTTATGACGTAAAGTATGCATGTAAGCCCATACATGTCCCACTGCTGGGCAAAGGCCTCTGTAAAGAGGGTATCAGGGCATGGCCCATCACGCGGCCCCACTGCGTTCACATGCTCACGACACTGTTCATGTGTCGTAGCCAAAAACTCCCAAAAGTTCTCGATATTTCCACTGAAATGTTTGTTCTGACAGAATTCTGCATTTAAACTGCGTTGCGATTCTCACGCTTGACTGTCACGCAATTTTTTTATATCCCTTTTGCAGGTTTTGCTGAAAAAAAAAATAATTACTTATTAACAGATTGATAAATAATAGGTTCATAGATTATAAATATAATCGTTTTCTAAGTAGGCAAATGATCGAGATTACAATAGTATAGTTCGTTTTTATGATTTAAGATGATATTAATTGTATAATTGCAACTGCCTCAAAAAAATAACTATATTATTGAATCGAAATCATTTGCAGAGTTAGAAAAAATGGGTGCGGCGGACCACGGAAATGGCCCCATCCTGTAGTGTGTGTGTGTTAAATATATTTTTTTTAATATTGTTTACAGCTATTTAGCGATGGTTACAAGATTTTAGGTTTGGTTAATCTGTTGTAATACATATAATTAAAGAATTTTGAAATTTAGTATATGTAATCGTTTTTGAAATGCGATGGATCCTGGTGGAGTAGGACACTTATTCTTTGATATATACAGCGTGTCGTTACCATCGCGACAATATATGTAATATAACTAATTAAGTAAAAAACAAACAAAATTTGTAGCATGCTATACAACTACAACTGACTGATTCGTACATTCTGAGACTTTCATTAGTTGCCACAGCTTTGTGACCTTTACAAATGAACTTTACGTTACAGTTACGTATACGTAAGGATGTTCTAATATGCTTTGCTTTGGAAAATTTAATAACTCGGTAAATGTTGATGTTTAAAGAATGTAAATGTTTAATACAATTTTAAAAAGTTATCCTCTATAATTATGTGTGTTCCTTTATTGTCGCGATTGTAAAGACACGCTGTATATATCAAAGAATAAGTGTCCTCCTCCACCAGGATCCATCACATTTCAAAAACGATTACATACACTGAATATCAAAAAAAAATTCTTAAGCATGTGACAACAACAAAATCCTTCAAACTCTCAAGTCGATCTCATAATTAGTTTCATCATCATCATCATTTCAGCCTGTTTGAGTCCACTGCTGAACATAGGCCTCCCCCATATTGGCTCTCTGCGGTTGCCAACCCGCTTGCCAGGCATGGCAACTATGGCACAACCCCCCCTTCATAATTAGTTTACTGAAGGTTATTTCTTTAATACCTGGAGAGGGCTAAGTCTTCTCCCGAAGACTTTTTAAAGTTTTTCGTGTGGGCAATGTAAAGAACTCAGACAATAGGCCATAGATCTTGGGACATCGATTGTACAAGGAAAGTGCCAAAATCTTTTCTTCCTCTGTGAAGCGATGTCCTTTTGGATTTTGCAGTGTTGTACGATACTGAATCTCTGTAAATATCTTCGCTGACTCGCTCATGTTTTTTGTGATTCTATCCAGGGCTACCGAATTAATCATGCTCTCCGAAATTTTCTCCAGAGCAGCACTATTCGACGTTTTCCGTGCCTCCGTTAGTCGCGTTTTTAAGATTCTGTTTCTTTTTCTCAATCTACTTATTTCACTCCTTAGCTGTTTTATTTTTTGGTTTAGTTTCTTCTTTGGAGCTAAAACAAATATACATTAACTTAATAATAATAATGAATCTAAACATAACTGGTCGGCTCAGCCACAGAATGTGCACTGGAAGAAAAAAAACATGCACATCGCTTTTCTTGTTTCAGGCACTTTTATGTGTTATTCTTTCAGAGAATGAGCACATCTCAAAAGAAGCATTAACCAAAATTTGTACATTTAAAAAGACTATGTTCAAAGTCTTTAAAAACTATTTGCTTATAGATCAATATTGCCCTTTTTAATCATTTTATATGCCTTTTGTGTATGTATAAATTTTTTCCTGATATCTTACTTTGTCCATATTATGTGATATGAAAAAAATTTACCTGCAACAGGTTGAACTGTTGATGGTAAGTCATCATATTGAATGTTATCGTTATAGTCATCCAAATCAATAGGTGTTTCTGAAAATAATTGAATGAAGTTAATGAAATATTTATAGTGGTAATGAAATGTAGTGATAGAAACAACAGTTCTGCACAGTTGGTCTAAAAAAATACCGTACTTTTTTGCCTACTATTTATCTAATACTGACAAAAATTGATCCTACCCACAAGTAGACTGCATAAAATAAGTAAATGTTTTATTAAAATATGTATAAAAAGTACAAAAAGATTGTCTCCGCTGTGGGAATCGAACCCACGTCTCTTCGGCATTCGCAGCCTGACGATTTAGCCACTAAGCTAAACGGCTGATTGTCACACCGACGAAAATCCTGACGTCTTTTATCTACATTGGTTTTTAGCATTTGAAGCAATCCTTGGCGCATCCATTGTTATGTCTTTTCCAGCGTACAAATAATTTCGAATATCGTTTTACAACTATAATTCGAACGAGGAATGTTGCCATTGCTTTTTAGAAATATAAATTGTTTTTAGTGCTAATCTTTGCACTTAAGATTTAACATTAAAATATGTAGAAAAACACAATTCTACATATTTTAATGTTAAATTTTAAGTGCAAAGATTAGCACTATAAACAATTTAAATTAAATGTTTTATTGTTGAAAGTGTTAATACAAATAATTTAAGTACTATAAGTTAATTTTACCTATTGCAGGCGGTGCAGGCGATTGGGATGTAAAAGTTAAGAGGCTATCAATATGCCCTCCCACAATGATAACAGATTCTGAAAATAAAAAGATACACTAATGAAAGAAATAAATTACTTGTGTGTGGGCATTGACAGAAGTTTTATCTCTGGTTGCTCAAGTATATTGAATGAAAGTGAACACCCAGAGATTTACATGCTTTTTGTTTATGCATATATTTTTCTGATATTGTCTTATGTCTACATTATGTTTTATAAAATAATTTTACCTGCATCAGGTAGTTGGACTGTAGAAGATAATTTATATGGAGAGTTATAACTATGGTCATCCAAATCAAAATGTGTTTCTGAAAATAATAATGTCTAATTAATTACACATTTATAGTTGTAATGAAATGTACTTGTAGAAACGAGTTCTGCACAGTTGTTCTATAGAAATACATATAGAAATACGATACTTTTTCCTGTTACTGCAAAAGTAATATTGTTTAATTATAGTTCCTCTTTTCCACATCAACAGTAGATCAAATCGCTTAGGAACAATTTTGAATAATAATTTACAGTTTGGACTATAAATCGCGCCATGTAAAAAGAAACGATGGAAGCAACTGGAGGGGTGTGTTTGCACATGCGGGTACACTCGGGCAAAATAGTTCTAGGCCCATTTTAAATGATTATTAATTAACCTATTAGCTAGGTACATGGCAAAATATATTACATGGAATATTATTAAATAAAATTATATCATGTTTAATTCTGCATAGAATCCTTACTTCCTTACTAATATTATAAAGGCGAAAGTTTGTATGTATGGATGTATGTTTGTTACTCTTTGATGCAAATACTACTGAATGGATTTTAATGAAACTACAATAATATAGCTTATACATCAGAATAACACATAGGCTATAATTTATACATATTTTTATGTATATCTGTCTTTCTGTCTGAATTATACGCCTTCAGCCTAATCTACGCAAACGTAGTCGCGGGCAACGGCTAGTGTTTAGGTATTTCTTAATAAAAGCTTGTCACTGAAAAATAATTACGATTCTTTTTATAACCTCGGTTGAGGCTGCCAACTACTACTTGTGTATGTTCTAAGAAAAGGTACATAGTTAGAATTAAAGCTAGGCTGTATACAATGGCATAGAAATATCTTTTTTTCTAGTATTGTCATTTTATGTGCTTTATGTTTATGCATAAATTTTTCTGATATTGTCTTATGTCTACAATATGTATCATTAATTAATTTTACCTGCAAAAGGGATTTCGATTGTCGTAGATAATTTATATTGAGAGTTATCACTATGGTCATCCAAATCAATAGGTGTTTCTGAAAATTATAATGTCTAATTAATTACATGTATATAGTGTAAAAATGTAGTTGCAGAAAAGAGTTTTGCACAGTTGGTCTAAGGAAATTCCATACATTTGCCTGTTAATGCAACAGTAATGCCTCAAAGTGATGAGCCAAATGAATTGCCACACTGGATTTCGAATTTTATAGATTTAAATACACCCTGTATGCACTCAGCATGGAATATGGACTTTTGCTGCAGGGAGCATGACGCTAATCATCATACCAGCAATTTTCTCATTTCGTCGTTATGTACAAATAAAAGTTTTTCGGTTCTGTATTATTAAACACACAAATGATGTCCGTATGTCCGCATAAAGAATCCCAAAATTGTTTACTTCTTAAAATTATGAGAATTTTAAAATAAGATCACATTGTATTGATTCCACGTCAACAATGCAATATGTAATGATCATTAAGGAATAATGTTGTAAAATCTTTTGAAAATGCTAATACAAAAAATATTACATTAATATTATAAGTTAATTTTACCTTTTGCATCTTGTTCAGGCAATTGGGATGTAGATGAGAGGCTATCAACATGCATTCCTAAAACTACTGGAGACTCTGAAAACAAAAACATACACTGATTAATGAAATATAAATAAAATTTGTGTAGGCCTTACATTATTCCAAAGGGTGAAAATATATAATGTTTCATTGCTACTTGTGCTAATTCACTCTTTAAGGTTAAAAATGTATAGAAGTTAATTGATGCATTGTTACATTGCCCTTACTTTAGGATAGCATTATCCTGTGTTGTAAGGATGTTTTACAAACATAAATTTCACACGGACAAACACCCAGATGCGAAACAAATATGTGTGGATCACACAAATAGTTGTCCCGAGTGTGGATCGAACCCTCGACCCCGCTGCCGAAGCCAATACCTTGACAACTGCGCCACGGAGTCATCATCGTTTTACCAAAACAACTACTTGTGTTTGTTCTAACAAAAAGCAAATTATTTTATTAAAATTTTATGATATAATATCTTATAACTATATTGTTAAAAAAAAGACAAGACAGCCTATACATGTCCCACTGCTTTAGAATGGCCTCCTCTCTACAGGGTATAGTCTCGTAAGCTTCACATATCTTCAAAATATATTTTATTCTGTTATTAGGGTTCCGTACCTTAAGAGGTAAAAAAGGAACCCTTATATGATCAATCTCTTGTCCATCTGTCATACACTGACTACCAGCAATTTTCTCAGGATCAAGGATGGAACTAGCAAGTTGACATTTATTCCAGACTAACTAAGGTCTATAGTCCCTATTAAGTGTATAAAAATCCTGAGTCAACACGAAAAAAAGATATCTTTTTATCCTGTTGACTCAGGACCTTGATTTTTATACATCTGATAGGGACTATTGACCTCCGTTTATGGTATAAATTTAAACTTGCCAGGACTAGCCTTTCCTCAGAAAATCTAGTCCTGGCATTATTTACCAATTTTATCATGGCTGTATAATGGTTTTTTTTTTATGTGAAAAGTTGCCAAACAAGCAGACGGGTCACCTGATGTTAAGTGTATACCGCCGCCCATGGATATCTGCTACACCCGAGGGTTACAGATGCATTGACAACCTTTTGAAAATTGGGCTCCGGCTACCTGACTCACACCAGACGAAACGTCTGGTGTGAGTAAGTCAAAAGTATTTGTCATACTTCCACTTTACGCTGGTTTTCTGTGAGGTCGTGGTACTTACCCGGACGGGCCTGCCCATTCGTGCAACAGCCGACGCTGCTGCGTGGCCCTACCATCGTCAAGACTACGGTACTACCACTCAGACTACCACTGAGTAGGTACGGAACCCTCGGCGTACGAGTTCGACTCGCACTTGACCGGTTTTTATATTGTAAATATGCAGTTGTTTACTCTTGTTGTATGTACGCCTCATGATGTTTTCATTTACCGCTGAGCATATGATATGTCAGCACTTAAAACCAACAATTTCGTTGGTGCTGGCACTGGAATTTGTACTCAGGTTGCTGAAGTATATTTAATTAAAAGCGGGTACCTGGGTACTGTGCTAGCATAGCTATATATTTAGCTGTCTTGGCATGTCATGGCTAATTTATGACTCACATTTTATTTAAGAATATATACACACTTAACATTTTAAATTAATACTTACTTGATAAGTGCAGTGTAGGTATTGCCAAGTTATTGAGACGGTTGTATCGGTTTTTTACGTATTCACTAAAGTGTTTATCACAAACTTTCTTCGACTTGTAGATCTTTTCATGTGTCATGCCTCTGACAGATTCAACCCCATATTCAACCGCCAAATCAACCCATTTCTTAAATAATTCTGGTTTCTTGTTAGGATTAGGAAAACTGTGAATAGGTACACCTAAAAATAAACCAGGAACTTTTGTTATCTTTTTACTAGTCAAATCTTTTTATTTCTATAATACCTATTTAATGAAGTTACAAAGATTTTTTGGAAACCTTGTGTATAATTTATTTCAAAGTATGCAAACAATCATACCACAACAACCAAATATAAACTAATCACAACAAGAAAATTACGTATAATTAATTAAATTATTAGGAGCTATGGTTACAGAATTTTAAATATGTTATATAAAATAACTTAGCCAAGGAGATCATAGGATTTAACATTTATATTCGTAATTTTGTAAACTATATACATTCATTGAATGTTTTATGCATCTGGTGAAAAATGTTGATTGGTAATCTCAGATTATACATACTCTTTTGATGTCAACTGTGATCTGTTTGATTTATGTATTATGTTTGAATTACTTTAAATTTGAAATATTAGTTTTATTTGTTCAGACTGAATTGTCATATTTGATGATTCCGTAAAAATCACTTGGAGAAGTAACATGTCTAGCTATCTAACATAACTTGTATTTTATATAAATTTCATAATCATTACGTTTGGTCTAAAATAAGTTCAAAATGTTTAAGTTCAAATATATCGTTTTCTTATCAGTCCTTAAGTGTCTTTTCGGTTTGAAAATGATCCCATTAGCCACATCTACCATTCAAGAAAAAATTGGTAATTGTTGATAATAGGAGCAATTGATGGGTTTCGTTCGTGAGGGGTACATTTATTAATATTTTGGTAATGTAAACAGATTGTAATAAATTAAAGTTAGATACCTGTAGTCACACATCCAAATAAACAACGTTTAGAAGAAGGCATGGCAATGATTCAAAACTTGCGAGATATTGGAAAAACAGAAGGCTTGCGTGTTATGTTTAGCGGAGTAATCTTCAACTCGACGTTAAACTTAAGCAGTAAGAAACGATCTAGTTTGCAGTTTCCGAGGAGAAATACCTAGTTGCTAAAACTAAAATCAAAGAAATTTGAACTTCGTGTTAAATATTACGTCCGGTCCGGACATCACAGATTTACGAAATAAGAATATATAGGTATATAAGAATATAGTATATTGGTCTATGATAAGAAATGTCGAAAAATCGATATATCTAAAATAAAAATATCGATATTATTACTGACATATTTGGATTTGATGTTGATAATCGATATAAAACATTCAATATCGAATTTCTAATGGAAAATTTTTCAAATTCGAATCCGGCACACGCCCCCGGTTTCTGAAACACTGATCGTCGTAGAAGTTAACTAATCAGCTGTCAAATGGCGCTTGAAAACTTGAAATGTTATTTAAGGTACTAAAAGCATGATTAAACTCTCTGAATTGATCGGAATGATCTTAATGGCCAGAATGATCAATTCAAAGTGTTTAACCATCTTTTTGACAACTTAAATGATATTTCAAAAGTCATTTTACAGCTGATTATTTAACTTCTACTATGATTAGTGTTTCGGAAACCGGCGTATGTCCGTATATGTCAAAAATTTAATACTTGACATAGGTATCGTTTTTTGAAAACGGGTCCTAAACAGAAAATATAATAAGTCTCTTCGATATATCGAGGCTGATATTGATAATTTTATAAATATCGATATATTTCTTTACTTTCGACATCCCCAGATTATGCTTAGAGAACATAATTATACTCTAATGAAAGCGTTAACTCAATTTCCGTATCCTTAGTATTACTTTAATCTATGGCTCTATCTTGTATATTTAACTGACTATATTAATCAAGGAATAGTAGAGAAAATCGTGGAAGCTACCGGATCCACTGTCACAAAGCTAACACAAGAAATGCAGCATGAGCACATGTGCGGCCCTACCCACAGCGGAGGGCCCAAACCCGTGGGTTCTGGCTAGCCCACCGGTTCTGCGTCAGATGAAGCTTTAATAGTCTCGGGACTGAAAGCAAAAACATTAGTTAATACAATATACAAGAAATACTTGGTCATATTTTGACCTACAGAATGTATCTTAGGTGGTACTGGTATTTACAATTCGCATTATTTTTACCAAATAAAAATGATACACTTTATTTATCCCATATTTACGACATCAAACTTGTCTAAAATTACATATTATGTAATAAACCTAATCCACGAGGCATGGTCAAAAGAACGCTAGCTGCATTTCTATCGTTATGCTTAACCTTTGACCGAGAAAAGAACCAGCTCTCGTTGCCGCGGCGTTAAGCCTAGAACATAAACCTTCCAAAAATTTCGATGTACGGGGATCCCACGGACCCAAAGTTTCAACAGCAAATGGCACACTCATATTTGCGCCACTTTTACTGTGGTAGGATCATGCAACAGAGTTCACTGTTGCACGAATGAGCAGGTCCATCCGGGTAAGTACCACGACCGGACAGAAGACCGGCGTAAAGTAGAAGTGTTACAACTTCAGCGTTTCGTCTGGTGAGTGAGGTAGCCGGGGCCCACTTTATTTAAAGGTGACAACGCGTTTGCAACCCTACGGGAGTTGCAAATGGTATCACATAACATCAGGTGAACCGCCAACTCATATGCCACTTTCTCACATAAAAAAAAACTTCAGCTGACTCCGATGCAACCCTGAAGTACCCCTTAGATGAGAGGCAGCCAAAGAGTCTACACAAGAGTCTACAATAGTGGTTGTTCCAGTGGTGACAGTTCAGTTTAAATAATGTGAATTTCTTTGTTTGGGATGCTCCTTGCACCAGACAGCATTTCTGGTACTCACTTGTGGGTTTGTCTCGAAGTACTCGACAATGTCATCATATGGCGAGATAGGGTATGCCACTCGTCCTTGTGCATGTTTGGGAACAGTGAACTGTCCGAAGTCTCACAATCTTTACATCACATTTTGGATTACGCCGCGGCTAGGAATTCGGCGGTTGCCCACCTGATGAGAAAATCGCATCTCTCCGCGAGTTATCACTTCCCAAAACAGCTCAAGGTTTGAGACGCTTCCTGGAGATGGTGAATTATTACCGCCAGCTTCTTCCCAAAGCCAAGCTCCACTTGTGGAGCACATCATTTTTTAACAGTCAGCAACCTGAAAGGTTCAAAATCTATGCCCTGTACACCAGACTTGGAGCGTGCCTTCTACCAATGTTGCGACAGTCTCTCAGAGGCCACCATGCTTCGGACCACAAGCCGCTTCTTTACGCTTTTGTCCAGCGTCGTGAAATGTTGCCCCCTGCTCAACTTAACCAACTTACATTTATTTCCCAGTCTCAGTTTACAACTGATATCAAACACGTGAAGGGGGAAGACAACGTCGTTGCTGACACAATGTCCCGCATTGAGGCTATCACGCTGGATGACGATTTCGCAGCCCTGGCAAAAGCTCAGCAGACGGACGGCGAACTTAAAACCGTAAAAGTCCATTCTTCTTTACAGTTAGAGCCAAACCTCATACCTGGAGCCAACATTTCCGTATTTCGTGATGTGTCAAGCACACCTTCAGGCAGATGTTCACCGAGACTTTATTGGACTTATGCCTTCCTCAAACGGTTTCACGTACTGTCTAACAGCAGTAGACCGTTTCTCACGCTGGCCCGAAGTTTGGCCCATGAAGTCGATAACCGCCATAGAAGTCGCTGATAAATTCACCCATGGCTGGATCGCTCGCTTTGGTGTACCGATCACTGTCACCACAGACCAGGGACATCAATTTGAGTCCCAACTTTTTAACAGACTGATGGATTTAGGAGCCACAAAACGCGTTCGAACTAGGAGCTATCATCCCCAAGCTAATGGGATGATATAGCGTTTCCACCGCCATTTTAGGCAAGGCCGCTTTAACGTGTCACAAGAGTTCTTCAAGAGTTCTTCGCAATCAGGGCGGCCCTAAAAGATGACATCAAAACGTCAGCTGCAGAAGTTCTGTACGGAGAACCGCTACGTCTACCAGGCGAGTTCCTGGTGGATAGCAATTTCCCTCAGATCGTGGATGATGACTTGATCGCACAGTTGCGAAAACGGATGGCAGCACTTCGCTCCGTTTTAGCATCACGTCACACGAATCCTAAAACTTTCATTTTCAAGGACTTACCAGATGCTAGTCACGTGTTCCTCCGCGAAGGGTTCATGTGCTAAACCCCCTAAATTGTATGGGTTGCCTAAAATACACAAACCAGACATACCATTACGCCCTATTGTAAGCCAGATCGACTCACCAACTTACAGACTGGCTCAACATCTAGTACGAATTACAAAGGATTCTTACCATTTTGTTAGTGACATAAAACAACTATGTCTTGCTGACAATGAAACAATGGTCAGTTTTGATGTACAGTCTTTATTTACATGCCTACCATTAGAAGACTGCATCTCAATTGTAACAAGAAAGCTAAAGAGAATAACATGCCGGAAGAGTATGCATTACTACTTAACTATTGCCTAACATCCGGCTACTTGATTTGGAAGGAGGAATTTTACGTACAGATAGATGGTGTAGCAATGGGCTGCCCAGTATCTCCCATTGTCGCTGACATATTTATGGAAGACTTTGAGGAGAAGGCCCTTCGCACAGCTCCCATTTATCCAAGGTTTTACAAGAGGTATGTAGATGACACCTTCACCATTTTACCAACAAGTAAAATTAATGCATTTCTAAATCACCTTAACTCAGTAAATTCCAAAATACAATTCACTATGGAATTAGAGCATAATAACTCTTTAGCTTTCTTAGATGTTTTGGTCATCCGCAATCCAAATAACACTGTAAGTCACACTGTGTATAGGAAGGCAACCCATACAAATAGATACCTAAACGGTGATTCTCACCACCATCCATCCCAGTTAGCTACCGTGGGTAAATCTTTGTTTCAGAGAGCACAAGAGATCTGTGACAAACAACACCTGGCCGCTGAGCTTCAACATGTCAAGCAAGTTCTGCATGACAACAAGCTTCGAGCACCGCGCCCTACGTGACAGTGACCGAGTGTAACAAGCCACAGTGGAACGAGTATCTGATGTTCTACCATACGTCAGAGAAGTTACCGACAAGATTGGCTACATCTTATAGCAGGCTTCGATTAATACATCCTACAAGCCACTGAAGAAGATTAGTTAGTTTTTTTTTTTTTACCATCTGTCAAGTGTAATATCCCTCTGCAAGATCCAGGAGTGTACAAACTTGACTGTGAATGTGGGCTCTCTTACATAGGTCAAACGAAAAGAGCAATAAAAACCCGCGTGAAAGAACATATAGCTGACATAAAACACAATAGATTGAACAAGTCTGCAGTTTGTGAGCACATTTTGAATAGGCCCAACCACTACATCAGGTTTGACAAACCACAGATCCTTGCAAAAGAACACCGATTCCTTCCAAGGATGATTCGCGAGGCTATTGAAATTAAAAAACACCCTAATTTCAATAGAGAAGAAGGTTGGGTACTACCATCAGCTTGGGATCCTGTCATCAATGAAATTAAATCTAGGCCCAAACGAACCACTACTGCAAGACAAGATACAATTAGCTCCCTCTGCATAGATCGGACACAAAATTAATAATTCAAAAACTGACGGTAGCCCGGGTTAACTATGACAATCAGACGTCTAACACCTCACGTCTGTCCCGTGACCATGAACGCTGTAAAGGGTTCGAAACGTCGGGAATTAAAATTAAAAATAAACGCGATAAATCCGTAAAATTAGTTTCATTTATAATGTGTAATCGCGTAAATACAAGAAATTATTATCTAAAGAATGTAACTTGATTTGATTGTTACATTTTATTCTTGTTTTGCAATTTTTTTTAATTTGTACTTATTTTTCTCCATATATAGGTGATGTAGCGACTCATTTGCTACTGTGTAGCACCGCTCTTATCTTGTACACCCCTTACTCTCATCGGTCTATCATTACCCTAATATTGACAAATAACAATAGCAACGAGTGACTATAAAAGATTATGGTTTTCTCAACACGGCTTGTTCTTTGTACTGCATCTTAATTATTCCCTCCTGCCGGCTCCCTAAATTGCAACAGAAACATTTCGTAGATTAAAATGTTTACCACCACCGAGATAGTCAACGGGTACTATAGTACCAAGAAAATATTTGTATTTGTAAGCATCGTAACTAGAATAATAGACAACGCAGTAAATTTTATGACATTCATCCATCACACTTACAAATTCACTGCGTCCCGAAATAAGGACGAGAATAGATTGCCCGGAGAAAAACTTTTAGATATTGGTGTTTCCCCTGGAAATCTCGGCAACCAGTAGTGTTGCCATTAAAAAAATATTAAGTTGACTCGTTTTACACAGTAATTGATTAAATATTTTTAATTACGTAATGTGCAACGGTGACATGCCTTGACAGTAGATAAAAACCAAGTGCATCGGCAACGGTGGTCAGACTCATCGGACTTGAGCTTTGTATAGCGTAAGCTGTCCCGGCATAGAGTACCGTAAGGTCACGGACCGTGCCCATGAACGTTAACTGTTAAACGAAACTGATGGAAGATTATCTAAATCCATCCGTTAGACTATCTTGACACCTATGAAAAAGCAAGCGAGCTGGCAGTCTGGAAGGTCTATGGATGCTGCAAATGCTCAGTCGAGCGACTGTTATGGGGAGTATCAATGTAATTTGGGCGGAAGTAATGAAACCACACGTAAAAGTTCAATTTGTTTATTATGCGCCGTCAGTCTGACTCTTCCTCGGCGCTGCTCTCCGACTGCCCCTCCTCCTCCGCGCCCTCCTCCCACGAGGGGGCGCTGTCCCCGGACTGGTAACCTTCCGCCTCCATCTCCTCGTCCGATGAGGTATCTGGAACGAGACAAGATTTTCAATCTCAAATATAATGTAAGTATGGTTTGTCATTTAGTCCGGTTAGTTAAGTAACTTCGACGCAGAGGTCAACCGGCGAATCCAACTCGGGTAGGCAGCGTGGGTAGTAAGTACCAACGACTACTGCGGTCTAGAATGATCTATTGTAGTCTTCCCTTCAAGATCATTACCCCTTTAACCCTTACTATCTTCATATATATATATATATATATAGTACCCGGAGGACCGAGCTTTGCTCGGTTTGTCTTTTTTTGGTAAATCGTGTATTTTGGAAATTACATTTAGATACAAATTACTGAGTAATGGAATATGCACAATATTTTTCGATCTTACCGACGTAATAATAAGAAAATATGAACTGATGTTTTTCACAAAAGAAAGAACTTTAAAAAAAAGGGAAAAAAATAACAAATCGACAAAAAATTTAAAATAAAGAAAGCAATGATCTGAATTCGAAAAAAAAGTAAAAAAAATAAATGTGTAAATGATCGTGACGCGAACCACGGCCGTCTGTTTAGGGGCCGCCCGATTACCGACCGAGCTATTATGACATTTTCTCTTGCGGCGAAATTTACCGTCATATTCGAATTATATTTTCATTCCCTGAAAACAGGGATAAAAGGGCATTTTCTAAAAATGAAACCTAGCTAGATCGATTTTTCGCCCCCGAATCTACGCACATACTAAATTTCATGAAAATCGCTGGAGCCGTTTCCGAGATTCCGATTAAACAGCGTGTCGTTACCATCGCGACAATAAATGAACACACGTCTAACGCTACTTGCCAATAATCATAAAAAAATATTAACGTTAAACAAAGTCCATAATAAAAAAAAAATATTTTTCAAACAAACTAATTAAGAAAAAAAGAAACAAAATTTGTAACACCTATACAACTCGCGCTACAGCGTCGTATTACAAGCCTCTCCTTCTAACAGTATGTTTTGTCTCTTTTAAATTCATTTAACCCATTCATATGCTTTGTGACCTTTACAAATGAACTTTACGTTCTTTTATAGGTAAGGGTGTTCTAAAATTCTTTGTTTTGGAAAATTTAATAACTCTGTAAATATTGATATTTAAAGAATTTAAATGTTGAATACAACTTTAAAAAGTTAGCCCCTATATGTGTGTTCATTTATTGTCGCGATGGTAACGACACACTGTATATATATATATATACAAGAATTGCTCTTTTAAAGGATAATATGTATATAACATTAACCCGTGTTATAAGGATAATGTACATACAAATATTCCATGTGGACAAACACCCAGATCCGAAACAACTGTCTGTGGGTCGCGGAAATAGTTGTCTCATGTGGAAATAGAACCCACTACCCTCGGCGCCGAAGCAAAGTCATCAAAGTTATATCATATAAGGGCATACCATTGTAGTGCATGAGTGGCTCATTGGGTGCCTCGCTGCTTGCCGCTCTCTGTGCGGTTGCCAGCTGCAAGCGGCCGCGCAGATTCAGCAGTTGGCACAGGTGAGACCGCCTGGTAACAAATTTAAGTTCAAATATCGTTATTCAACATAGAAGAGTTACACTTACTTATTGATTGCCTGAGAAGTGGAGAAAGACATTCAGCGGAACATATTGTTTATCATTATTCGAAACATGTTCACAATAATTTCGGCCATGGACATCTGCAACACCTTGTAGATGCATTGAGAACATCTGTAAAAGCGTTTCCTGTTGCCTCACTCACCAGACGAACCGCGAAAGTATAAGACTTCACATTGGAAATTATTCCCTTCCTTACAATGTTTTCCTTCGCAAACAAGCATGCAATAATTGCTACTTATAAATGATACTTCACACCAATCTGTAAGACCATGATGTAGAGTCAAGCCAGCCACTTGACATACAAGTGAACGAGTGAGTGAGTGAGTGAACGAGTGAGTGAGTGAGTGAGTGAGTGAGTGAACGAGTGAGTGAGTGAACGAGTGAGTGAGTGACTGAGTGAATCAGTGAGTGAGTGAATGGCGCACCTGTGAGTGAGCACAGCGAGCAGGTGAGTGAGTCGTTGGGGTGTGGTGGCGAGGAGTAGGGCGGCGTGCGCTCTCAAGGTCGCGCTCAGCCACGTGCACACCGACGCGCATCTGTAAGACACACACACCGTCAAATATCTTACGTTAGAGACAAGACATATACATGTGAGGTAGGTTCAGAAATGACTTGTTATTTCCTTTATTACCAATGCTTCTGTCTATGGTCACCTCTTGTATTGTACTTTGTGTAACCTTCCAGGCAAAATCCGATTTGGGAAGTAAGTCCCAAAAACCAGTGCAACCCTTAGAAAACATTGCCCCCCTTTACTGTAGGATAAGATCATCCTGTGTAGTAGGGGCCTTTTGCATACATAAATTGCACATGGAGAAATGTCATCATCAGGTCCGAAACAATTATCAGTGGGTCTAGCAAATAGTTGTCTAGAGTGAACCCAGCAAACTCTTTCATTTCAAAGCAACAGATTTATATGAGATGCTCGAAATTACAAACACTGATTAACATAAGCAACATCTCAGATTAAGTAAAAAAAATTCCTTAAAAATATATTTATTAATGAGGCAGCAATAAAATATAAACTGCACAGTGGTGTCAGCCATGATATGTTTACATTTTAAAAGCTTGAGATAGATTTTGGCACAAAATGAAACTAATCAGAGGGAATCAACCAAGCGGCTTCAAAGATAATGTGCCTAACACCTCTACTCTACTGCTTACTGCATATGCAACATTATATATAATTTGATTCCAAGAAAATACCAATTTTAGTACTGTTCATCATTACTAATAAATATCTTCCACATACAATATGTATGCAAGGGAAATTGAAAAAAAAAAAAAAAAAAAAAAACCCACTGAGACTAAAGCCTAAGTAGAGTGAGATATGTGATAATGAAAATTGACCAAGAACTCACTGGCTGGTCCTTCTCGTTGCCATATCTGCCAACTGATCCAGGAGCAAAGGAACATAGTCCGCTGGCAGGTATGACACTGTCCTTGATGCTACACCGGGATCATCTTTTTGGAGAACTGTCAGTATTATTCTGAAAAGTCAAAGTTCAGTCTCAAGCTATTGTGGAATTTTATTTAACGCATTTATTTTGATTTTTAAATTATCAACGTAACATCGACATTTCACTGTATGTTGCTAACAGGTCGGCTGAATTTTTTTCATGGACACTGTACATACCCTTGGTCCTTGGAATGTAGACCTTGCATTAGCAGTTTGGTTAGGTTCTGGCTGACGGCCGACTTGGCTCTGTCCTTCACGTCCAGCGCTAGATTGGCCAATCTCGCCTCCATAGACACTTCAACCTGGAAAACAAATTAATAGATATCATCACTAACGGCCGTGATAGATCAGTGACTAGATGCTCGCCTTTAATTCAATATACAAGAACAACCCGAGTTCGATCCCCGGTGCCGGCACCAATGGAATTGTTAATTTTAGGTGCTCATGTTTCAATTAAAATTAACAATTCTATTCCGTTACGTGTTCAGCGGTGAAGGGAAACATCGTGAGGAAACGAGTAAATTTTCGTAATTATAACAAAAAAAATATTTCGAAGATATGTGAACTCCGGCAATCCGCATGGTGAACTTTGTACAAAGGAGGTCTTTGTCCAGCAGTGGGACATTTGGAGGTTGTGACTTTACTTCATCACTAAGGCACATTTCTCTAAGGGTCAATTGGATGTGCCATAGTCTATGATAATTCAAAGTTCTTTGAAGTAGCGATAAACACTAGCTCAGTAAAAATAACTGTAAAATAATTGGTAAAAAGATGGAAGTGGAAAAATACTTCTCTACAATATACTCTTTACGCTGAGGGTTAGTTTTTTTTAAATGCAGGGAAAGTTTACTTAACACAGTGTGTTAGGGTCACGCGGCAGCTTTCACTGCAGCAATATGGATGAATAATATAATTGGCGTTTTGTCTAGTGGGCGATACAAACGGGTCCGCTTTTTCAAAAGTTTGGCAAAGGTAAGGCATCCGCAGACTATTGTAGGTCCTAACTTTCACGCGCGACGGTAAAAAGAACAATAGATATAAGTAAAGTGTTATATATTCTATATTGAATAAAAATAGAAAGAAACAAACAAACAAATATTTATTTCACGCATTACATAATGACCCTCTGTATAGAGGCCTTTGCCCAGCAGTGGGACATGGATAGGCTGTCAATACTTTACTTTACATTACATAAAAAAGAGCAACTGTTGAGTTTCTTGCCGGTTTCTTCTCAACAGAAACTGCTTTCCGAACCGGTGGTAACTTACGAACGTGTTAATTTCTTGTAAAATTTTGACGTTTCATAAGAACGCGCAAGCGTATATGTGAATAAAGATATTTAATTATTATTATTATTATTATTTATTATAAGTGCTTGATCACGTTGACTCGCGGGCGCGGTCACCAACATATTACTTAGTGTCCAAGCGTTCACGTACGAAACGCACGTGCGGTCTAAATAGCGGGCGAACTAGCAGCGGAGCGCGCTATGCACTAGCTAACGACGTCAGCTAAGTTGAAACATTTTGAAATTGTCGCTAGAAGTGATACGCATTTTATGTGTTTTTGAAATGGCATACATTTAACGGTGGTAGAGCCACGCAGCAGCCTCGGCTGTTGCACGAACGGGCAGGCCCGTCCGGGTAAGTACCACGACCTCACAGAAGACCGGCGTAAAGTGGAAGTATGACAAATACTTTCGCCTTTCGCCCGGTGAGTGAGGTGGCCGGGGCCCAATTTCCAAAAAGGTTGTCAATGCATCTGTAACCCTCCATGGGCGGCGGTATTCACTTAACATCAGGTGAACCGTCTGCTCGTTTAGCAACTTTTCACATAAAAAAACACTCCTTATTCAATCCAGTGTGTAATCAAGACCAGTATGTAACCATGCCGTTCTCTTTTTGCCGTAACGCTTTAGCGTCTTCCACTTTAGTAATGAATTTTCGGTTAATAATATAAGACCGTCGTCCATGTTTTCAACCTCTGAAACACGTTACACTCGCATAAACGCCTGAAGGCTAATGTGAACTCGAGATCGCGACGTCTACCTGATTCTACGTGATCCTACGTGATCCTACGTGAACAAGCACTAACAGGAAAAAACGTGTACAAGAATAGCACTGAAATTGTAAAAAAAAATGGATGCCTTGAAAGATTGGCATTTAGCTCCGTGCATACAATAAAGATATCTGAATTTGTATATACTAACCTGCCCGCCCGGCGTTGGTCGCTTCCTAGTGACCCCTCCCATAGGTTCGACGTACGTGACGTCATTGCTCTTCTGGTCCGACTGCGTTTTGTTGACCTCGCTCGTCTGTTTGGCCTTCTTCTTGCTTTGCTTAGTGTCTCCACGGATAAGCACTTGGGTTTTTGTGCTTAAATCCGGCGCCTGTAGCAACAAAAGGCGAAAGTTTTCATAAACTACCAAAGAGCACTAAGGATTATCACAAACACAATATCATGGAAGTAAACAATACAAAAGTAAAGTATCAGCCTATACATGTCTGTCCCACGGCTGGGCAAAGGCCTCCTCTGTACGGTGCCCTGATACCCATCAGGGCACGGTTAACCACGCGGCCCTACTGCGGATTGGCGGACTTCACATATCTTCGAAATATTTTTTTTTATTTGGAAAATATGCAGGTTTCTTCACGATGTTTTCCTTCACCGCTGAGTACGTGATAATTCGGCACTTAAAATAAACAATTTCATTGGTGGTCGAACTCAGGATGCTCGAGTATAAATAATTAAAGGCGCTCGGAGACTGAGCTATCACGGCCCATGGATGCACATATATACATATATACTTAATCATAGAAGTTAACTAATCAGCTGTCAAATGGCTTGTCAAATGTTATTTGAGTTGCCAACAAGATGGTTAAACTGCCTGAATTGATCAGAATTATCTTCTTAATGATAAGAATGTTCAAGTGTATTGTGAAGTTAGCTTCTACGATGATCAGTGTTTCAGAAACCAGACGTTAGTCTATGTGAGATGGTCTTTGTTGAAGTTGTCACAATAAAATCAAAACAAAACATCTCAAAGATAGAGTTAGTTTGTTACACAGAAGTTTGCCTCATGTCACCTTTAAGAATTCCTTTTTTAAGTATTTCATAAGAATATTGTATTTTGCACTTATAACTGCGTATTTGGCAACTTGATTGGACAAATACTAACTGTGGAAGTGATTAACATGAAAATATTATGCAACAATATATTTACTGGCCAGTTTTCACCAGAGATTCACCTCCACAGTTAAGTCCCTAACAGCCAGTTAGAATGTTCTATCAATCTATAGATTTGGTTACTGGAGATAGAATTTGGCATAAGTATTATGATAGTAGTAACCAAATCTGTCTGTTGATTGAATGTTGAGACCGGCCGTTCATGAATCTACGTCTGGTACTTACAACTCTCTCAAACAACAGTGATGTACCACTTGTGTATCCAAGCAGGAGGTCCCCAGTGGCTGCGAGCCTGCAGCATTGGAGTGGCAGCGGAGTGGCGTCTGACGTCGTCACTTGCACTGTCACCGAAGGCTTGATGGGTTTGGTTGATGCGCTGGAATCGAGATTTTTATTTTACAGCGTGTCGTTACAACTGCGACAATCAATAATAAATTGCCTTGAAGACGCCTACGTTGTAATCCGGTGGCTTGTTCCATTAATTAGTTGTATTTATGATACTTCTTCTGGCTTTCACAGGGTTTGTGATTCAATAAGTATGTTAGGAAGCTTTTTACCAAAGTAAAATAACTCACCCATTCAACATATGCCCGTAGAAATGTACAACACCACTCCTCGTGGCGGCAACCAGCTGTAGTTTTGAACCAGACTCCTCAGCCTCCACTTTAACGTCAAGCAGCTTAGGTGCATCTTCCAGAACGAAGTTGTACGTGGGCGTGGGTATTAGTGGTGCGCTGCTGGTGGATTTCCTCCGTTGCCTCTTGTTGGGGGTGGGTTCATCGCCATTGATTTGGGACGGTGCTTCATCCGTGACTGTTACATCCCAAAAGGACAGCAGGCGTTCATTCCTGTGAACGGTTGAGAATTATCAGAGAAACAGAATTTATTCACATATAGATTAAGTGGAGATAATTTGGTGATAAAATAACTGCTTTTAAGACATTATACTCAAGCAGAAAAAAAAGTAATTCTTAGTTTACACATAATTACATTATCCTTTTGGTTTTTATTGAATAAAATTAATATCCATAAGGGTATTAAACATATCAGGTACCAGATCAGATTCTCAACATGATGTTATGCTGCATAAACTTACTGTGAGCCCTCTATAAGCCAGCATGTATTCCCTAATGTTGCAAGTGCAAGTAAAGCACGGGGTGCTGCATTGTGTCCTAGATTGCTTATTAATGTTGCATGACCATCTTGTAAACGCCATATTCGGAGTTGCCATGATGCTACTACTAAATATCTTGATGAAGATTTCTGCAAGTTTTACAACATATGCATCAAATGATACAGATTCAAGAATAAACAGTTTATGCATGCAAAAATTTTGACAGTACTATGATGTATGTGCCTAATGACAAAAAAAACACTTAAGAAAGAATATACAGCGTGTCGTTATAACCGCGACAATAAATGAACACGTCTAACGCTACTTGCCAATAATCATAAAAAAGTATAAAACGTTAAAAAAATCCAAACAAACTAATTAAGTACAAAAGAAACAAAATTTGTAACATCCTATACAACTACAACTGACTGATTCATACATTCAGAGTCGTTTTCAGTTGTTGCCACAACGTCGCATTACAAGACTCTCCCTCTAACTATATGTTCTATCTCTTTTAAATTCATTCAACCCATTCATATGGTTTGTGACCTTTACAAATGAACTTTATGTCACAGTTTTATATGTAAGGTTGTTCTAAAAATGTTTGTTTTGTAAAATTTAATAACTTGGTAAATATTGATGTTTAAAGAATGTAAATGCTTATTACAATTTTAAAAAGTTACCCTCTATAAGTGTGTTCATTAATTATTGTCGCGGTTGTAACTACACACTGTATATAGATGGCGTTAATAGAATTACATTTTGCTTGAAATATGATAATAAAATTAACTAGTCATTTATTCATTATCATATATTTATTATCATATATTATTATCATATATTATTATCATATATTTATATATTTAGACATTTATTTATTTGAACTTAGTAGAGTAACATAAAAGCCTATTTATGTACTGGGCAAAGGCCTCCATTAAGAAGGTATTAGTGTATAGTCTATTATGCAGCCCCACTGTGGATTGGCAGACTTCACATATCATCAAAATCAGTTTTGTTGAAATTTCAAAAATATGCAAACAATGTATTCCTTCACCGCTGAGCATGTGATAATTCAGCACTTAAAATCTACAATTTCTTCGAGTGCTCGAGCAATGAGCTATCACTGCTTATTTTTACTTTTGGTAAATGTAAATAACTTTAACTCTGGCATAATTAGATTAAAATAAATTTTAAGCAATAGAGAAAAATCACTAATGAATTTATCAACAAGCAGAATTCGGCGGTCGCCTATAGTTTTCGAAAAAATAAATAATGAAATAGTGTGATTTTTACTATAGAAATCCGCCATTTTTTTGTTGTCAATATGTCAATTCTGCTCGTATTTCTTGGTGGTCATAAAAAAAAACCTAACATTGAACCTTCTAACCGAATCTATCCGAGTCGGATTCGCTCTGTTTCGGTTCTGTGACGCATTAAATTAAAAACAAATCGGACTATCGATACGAGTATGAAGTCACCCAGTTCCTATATTTATCATGTTGGCAGAACTGTGTATTGAGTTTTTGAAGTGAAATAAATAAAATAATCAAATATTTTTTTCTCAAAAACTATAAGCGACCGCCGAATTCTGCTTGTTGATTAATTCATCAGAGATTTTTCTCTATTGTTTAAAATTTATTTTAATTGAATTACGGAAGAGTTAAAGTTATTTACATTTGCCTTACTTTTTTCTATATGTTATAAAAATAATGATTACAACAACTTTTAATAAAACTCTTAACAAAATGATAGTGTCATTAATTAATATTTTTAATAGATTTCATTCAGAAGCTTTCTTTACTCAAGTAAATTTTAATTAAATGTATATTATATACTATGAAACTGAAATAATCCTATATAAGTAACAAAACATATTTCTGGTATTGGGTACTATCTTTATTATGTTGTACAAAATTCTTGAGTCAAAATTAAAATTTTGATATTGTTAATCTCTGCACTTAAGATGAAACATTAAATGTGTAGAAAAAGTATATAGATATTCACCACTGCATGAATCAAACACAAGACTTGTGGATTCGCACTCAGGTCTCAGGTGATATGTAGCTTTTTTTATTGAATTACCTCTTTAAACCAATTGTGCCAAGATTTGAAGTTTGTCAGCAAAAAGCAATTAGACAAACTCTCAATTAAAGTTTACATATATTGTTTTTGCTTTTGACTTTACTTCTATAGCAAAAATACTTTTGTTAGTTTATCTTATGCTATATCACCCTTAAATTCCTCTCCTCTAATTTTAAATCATGTCCCTGCATTAGAGATATCTGTTGCCACTCACCTGACTATGAGGAATAATTTTAATAGCACTGACACCACTTAGTTGTTTATTTCTCTTCTCAACATTTATATTGTACTTATATCTAACAGATGCACTCCCTAAGTCCCATTCAAGCACCACATTATTCCCAGTGCAACTGTACAAGCCGTACTTCCTATGCCACTCTAAGGTTTTGACTTTATTACTGTGCAATTCACTGCCCTTCTGGTCGGTTAGCACTGTTTCAACCTTAGCTTCAGCAATAGAGTATAGTAGGATCTTTCCGCTGCTTGTTCCTAATGCTATTATCTGGCTTTCTTGTTCACTGATTGATTTTCTTCTACCGCCTTTTTGTGGAGTGACCTGAAAAAGGTTAACTCTTTTAAATTTTATGTATTACAGTAAGTTCTATGGAACACACATATGTGTTGGAGCAAATAATGCAGGTTGCTTTTTCCTACCATTAGATACCACACAAGATAAAACGAAAACTAGGGAAAAAATGTGTAAATAGATTAAAACCACGTGTGTCTACTTACTGATTGTCTTACATTTATCCATTGTAAACATGAAGGTGGAGCAGTTAAATGTAGGTCCGGTGTGTATTCTTGTTTAAGGACATTAGTTTCTGTATCCCAAATTCTTAGTCGGCCATCCTGAGTTATGGCAGCATAATATTTTCCGTCTTCGGAAAATGCCGCTTCTGCCATCTTCTTGACTGTTGTTTTTGAGTACTATCTGTGGTAACAATGTGACACTTGACAACAGACAGAGTAAGTATCATTCGTTAAAAAATATGCAATTTTTAGAAATAATTAAAAGAAGAAAGAATTTAGAAAAAAAATTATATTACAAAAATTATTTACAATAATTCTTGATAAGCTATTTCATAGACATAAAAAAAATAATTATTTCATAGATATTTCAAAAAACTATATTTAAGAAACTTAAAACACCTATCTTACTAAGGACATTTTTTAGCTTTTTGCTAAATTAAAATTCAAATACACTATACAATCTCTGTCATTTTCATTTTATTTTATTTTTCTTAATGTACACACAAACGTCTCTAGTACTAAAGAGCCAATCACAATATTTTAGCGAAAGATATCTTAAAATTCTATTGGCTCCGAAACGCACGTTGCTGGTTAATGTTGCCAAAGTAATAAGGTGATTACTCTTATGTAGGACAAAGGAAACGAAAGAATATTTGAAGGCACGTCCAACGTTGAGCTTAATGTCATCGCTAGATTCGCTGGTTGGTTTCCGTCTGTCTATTGCATATGATTCGTGAACGAAATCTAGTCGCGAACGAATGTTGTAGGCGTAGTTCTTATTTTTTTTTTATTGTGCTCTCGTTCCACTTTTCAAATCGATTCTTACTATTTTTTCTAGAAAATACGTGCTTTATTTTATGTGCTTTTTACATAAAGGTGAAACAAAATAATTGCGAAAGTGCTGTGGTTTTCGTGAATTATGATGTCATTAAATCCTTGAAAATATGAGTGTTAGTGTCGACGACGTTTCCAGCCCTTTATCGGAAGGGCAGAGCACCGTTTGCGACGAGGGAACCTCCTCTTCGGATAATCTGGGCGCAAAGAATGACGACGTTGAGGCAGGTCAGGATAAGTCGGAGCCAACGAGCCCCAAACTGCATCCGATGGCGTTCACAGTCGACTTCGGCGAAAGTAAGAAGTTCGACAACCGAAGGCTCGAGGAGCTAGCGAAAAAGTCGCAAGCGCGACATCAGAGGGTGCAATCGATGTCTGCGGGCTCGGCGCGGCGAAGTCCCACGGCTTTGCGGCCGCCGATGAGCGTGAAGCTGCCGAGGAAGGCGCAAGGCTATAACTCCGAGGGCTACTTCTCCTCAGATCAGGAGGACGGTGGCGCATCTAACTCTGTCAAGGTTAGAAATAGTCCGCTAGCACAAAACCCCGACAAGGCCCAAACGGCCAGCCCCGTTACCAAAAGGCAGGTGAAATCGCCAAATTTCGATCTATTACCCCAAAAGAAACAATCAAAGAGTCCGATAGTCGATAGTATTATGACAAGGAGTGAGAACTTCACAACACGTCAATCCCTGAATCTGCCATTGAATCCCAATGGGCCTCTTTCGAGTGGCCTCCATGAAACGCCGAGATACGGTAATCTCAGTTATAAGAAACATATCATGATGGATATTGCTGATCAGAGCCCCGAGGTCTTGATGTTGACTGATATTTCTAGTCCCGAATTAGACATTCTCACTCCTGACAATGGCTTATCGACTCCTGAGACTTCCAAAAGCCCTCTGATCCGAAAAACAAGGGCCATGTCTGAAACACCCGACTTGCTATTCAAGAAGTGCCCTCCTAAACCCCAACCATTGTATATTGATGACGATATAGAAACACAGTCCAATAACTCATCAACAGGCACTTACACTATCGAAGCGGACAATTACACAGAGGAGCAGAAGGCAAGAATGAGTATAGATAGGTCGTTTGGTGCCGACTTACTCAATGAAGCAATAGACAAAGATTTGAGTAAACGGTCTAATGCAGAAGCGGACCCAGCACTTGTATTTGATTACCCCAACCTTCAGCATGTCATAACAAAAGAACCGAGGAGGGAAGTTTGTCTCAGAAGCCCTTTAGCCTCACACACTGCATTTGAAATACCAAATAAAGTGTCAAAAGACAAGAATGTTCTGGAGATATCTTGCTGCTACGAGCCTCTTAATGAGAATGAATTGGCAGTGCAAACATCAAAACAGATCAAGTCGACAAGGAGTTATTTGGAGAAAATAAAAAGTAGAGTGCGCACAATCACTGAAAAGACCTTTCCCAAATCACCGCCAAAGCAAAGTGACGAGGCAGATGTCGGCAGCTTCACTTCGGTGACCACATCAGGTGTTCTAAGCATGAAGAAGTCTGTCAAAATAGAAATGCCTATTCGGAGACGTTGTAGCCTGACCAAATCCGAGATAGACCAGACCGACTATGTCCATAGGTTGTCTAGAGAGTCCTCTGTCCCAGTCTCGTTGCCCAGCAGCAAGGGTCTGGCCTTGGAGGATGCTGAATTCGAGAGCACCGCCCTTAGGAACGCCCAGAAAGCTCTACGGGACGACAGCGGGGTCTCCTCTGACATCACACCGGACCAGGTGGTCGGCAAGCTGTCCTATATGAGCCTCAGCCGTTGCAAAGGCGACAAAACCTGGATCCAAGATTGGGCTGAAAGCGTCAAGAACTACAACAACAACACCCTGGCCAAGGATTGTGAACTGTCCAGCACATACCCTGACCGTCCGCCTCTCAGTCCTCGTCACCTGCCCGGAAAACGTAAGCTTTTTTTATTTATTCATTTTTTTTTTCAAATATTTACTTGACCTCAGGATAAAGTTATCCTGTGTTGTAAGGACATTTTTACAAACATAAATTTCACGTGGATAAACGACCAGATGCGAAACAACTATCTTGTCCCGTGTGGGAATCGAAGCCACGACCCCGACGCCAAAACCAATACTTTAGAAACTGCGCCACGGAGTCATCTGTTTTTAATCTGTTCCCTAACAACTCATTATTTTTTTTATTCTCAATTTGAATTTAATTCTAGTTTAAGACAGTAATGTATGACAATATAGGTATAAAAATAAAGACACTATAAATATATAATTAAGACACGAATGTTACTTCATACATTACTTGAGTAATTACTTTGTACTCATTACCAATTATTACTTTGAATTATATTATGTTAAATACCTATATGTATGTTATTGATTTTAATTTTAATTGCATTTAATTTATGAAATTTAATAGATTATATTTATCTCTTTGTAGACTTCAACTCTGTCATTAAATTATACTTAGGGTTTTGTTTAATTTGTAGTAGTTGTGTATCTATAAATAGTGTTAGTAACAGTTAGTAGTAATAAATGTTGCTGTCGTGTGAAAAGATTTCTATTTACATACGTAACATTTAAGTGACGTACACAATATATTCCGAGACATTCGTATTATTTTTAAACGCTGCGTAACTTGAACGTAACCGTATTCTGATGCACAGATTATGCAACAATATTGTTTATCGAAGGCGAGAAAAGAATAAAAATATCGATGGGATCAACACAATTGACCTAGATATGCGCTATTGGGATCTCGATGGCGTTGCGTTTTACTACGTCCGTGTTTGTACGACAGAGAATATCGAGTGATAGTTTTGTTTGTTAACAGTGCTATAGTAATCTAGGTCAGTGATGATCTGGTGGTGTCTTTTCTCGCTTATCACCGGAACTTGATGAACGATTGCAATAAGTCTTTTTGGCTTAAATAACCTTTTAACCGAATAATGCCGTTTTATAACTTGGATTGATACCTGAACTTGTGCGATGATTTTTTAATACCCACCCTAAAATACCCTAAAATTCCATTCCACTTTACCACGTGATCCAAATTAGTAGTGTTTACGCGGCCAATGTGGTCTGGTTGCGTCTTTAAACGAGTTTCAGTTCAGCGAGCTCAGCGGCTGGAATGCGTGACCTCCGATAGTGGGTCCCGGATTCCGTAATCCGAATATTTGTCCATCGGTTGAACCGTGCAAAATTTTCGCACAGTTCAACAAATTAACTTCAGTTTTCACCCTTATTCTACTTTAATATATTTCGTCATAGCGGCAAACATACATGCAATATAAACGGTGGTTGAGTCACTCAATTTGATAAAGAAATATGTAAATTATAGCGTACCGAAAAAATAAGCACTTGAGAATCTGCTTAAGAAATAGCGATAGCGTAAGAGCCGTGATAACCGAGTGTCAGTGAGCTCGCATTTATTTCAATTTTCTCGAGCAACCTAAGTTCGATCCCCGGTGCACCAATTTAATTGTTAATTTTAAGCGATGACCATCACGTGCTCAGTGATACCCTCTTTACAAAGGAGGCCTTTGCCCAGCAGTGGGACATATTTATAGGCCGCTACTGAACTTTTTTACCCATTACCACCCATTCGTTAAGTAAATGACAAACTACTATCTTCCGTTGAAATTCTAATAATTGGGATAATAATTCATGTCGTGATTGTGTCGGTTCTTCCATAAAAGTAGCACGGCCAGCTTAAAATTGCTCTATTAATTTTGTTGGGTTTCGTCCACCGAGTGAGGTAAACGAAACCCAACCTAAGAAAGGTTCTCAACTCAATTGCAATGTTCATTGCAAATGGCCTGCTCGTTTGCCTTTTAGCACATAAAAACAATCATGTCTATGTATTTTCTTTAATTGCAATGTCATTGTATTAATTGCAGCAATGTCATTGTCGTAATTTGTTGTTCCCAGGATACTGATAAGCCTTTGTTTCTTTTTTTCTAAAGAAAATAAAAACGTATGATAATAGAAGAGTTCTTCAATCACGGGAGACTAGCGTGTAGTGGAATTATTATACTTTTGTGCTTCTTCTGGTGACCTAACATCACTTCTGCAACCGTGCGGATTACATTTTCAAGTATTGTACAAATATCTACCAGGCGGGCATAGCCTGTGCTTGGTCCTAACCTGTAATTGTCTGGTGAGTAAGTTAAACGGGATGAACCTCTTCTAAAGGTTGGCAACGTTTCTGCGACCCCAAGGATTTTGTAAAACTGGACGCCCACTGACAGGGCGTCCTTGAAAACTCGTTAATTCTTGAACAAATATCTACCAGGCTGGCATAATCATAGTTTACTGCAGTCCTTGTCGCGTCGGATTAAAAGTATATTGTTTTTCGAACAATGATATCAACTATCGTATCTATCGTATCAGTCGTGTCAGCGGACGTCATAACGTTGTTTGCAAATATTGGCCAAGCGATAAGCTGCCTTGACGTTCGGCGAATGTTTTTATTGTTATGACGCCCTGGTAGATCGCAGTCTGATTGTTGTATTTTGTGTATGTTTGTTTACACACATTTTTTTATATTACTTGATAATATTTTTTAACATGAGGCTTAGTTGAGATTAGTTGATTCTACATATTTTGTGCAAATTGTTAATAGGTTGTTCGGATCAAACCCGCCCATACAAATATACCGATAAAAGATATAGTTTTGATTTATACGAACTTATATTCAAAGATCAAGTAGGGGTAGTCACGTTAAGGTAACTTTCTCACCTTCTATGTTGGTGTCATCGGTTATTTCTTTATCCAAAGCTTTTCGTAAGGCACCAAACACCACCAATTCTTCTTAAGTCTCTTACTTAAGTCATAGTTTACATTAGTCTTACTTAAGTCAGGGGCATATGGTGGTTACACTCTGAATCGCCGGACCATGGCGCTTCTGCGCAGACCACAGAAGGTGTTGGCTATACGGGCCATATGGGGCTACTGGACGATTTCCGGTGAGGCGGCGTGCGCGTTGAAAGGTTCCATTCCCTGGGACCTAGAAGCCAGTATCCTCGCTTCACTGCACTTCTGGCGCAAGGAGGCAATAGCCCGGGGTCACCTGCCAGCCTTAGAGGAGTTGAAGGGTTGCAGACTAAGGCTGCGCTCACTCGCCATTGCCGAGTGGGAGCAGAGGTGCCGTGCTCATTGCACCGACACGGCACCATTTGGTTGGACCGGGTGTCCCTAACACCCGGGGAGAGGAAGCCTGAGAAGGCCACAGTCGCGCCGGGGTTCGCGGAAGATTGCGTTTTCGTGTTCCCGTATATCCGGCAAAGCGACAGCGCAGGTGCAACGTGGGTTTTTTAGTGGGTACCCCGTAACTCCCACATACCCCTATGCCTACCCACAAGGCGGCGGAGGATCCATAAAGGATTTTTCCCACGTAAAAAAAAAAAGGGCATATGGTGGTTGAATCCGGGCGGGTTTGATCCGAACAACCTAATATTTACAGTAAATATCTATGAATCTCTCCAATCTTCTCCTACTTTAACATTACAATAGCGATTTACTACTATAGCGCATGCATACATTTTAAACGGCAGGTATGCCGACCTACTGGCCATCGAGCGTACGTTGCGTGATCCGGATGGAAAGAGAAAAAGCTAGTATTATAAAGGTCTCTCTCAAATAGTCACTATCAAATCTACGTTTGTCAAAACTGACTCGTTTATTTTTAACACTCGACCAGTCGACCTTCCATTTTTGTATCGTACGACGAAGGCGGTTGTTTACGATTCCTTAAACGGTATTATTCCGATAGGAAAAAGTTAAAATCCGAGCTTGAATTGTCCACATACGTATACAGTAGGTCATTGACCTCTAGAAACACTTGATGATCATCGCTCCAGGATTAAACGTGTTGGTTATTTACGCGGTTAGATTTGATGGCGTGCGATAAATTGCATAGTAAACTGTGGTAAGGCCACGGCAACGGTCTTCGCTTTTGCACGGATGGGCAGGGCCATCCGGGGAAGTACCACGACCCTCAAGACCAGCGTGTAGCGGAAGTGTTATATTTCTGCGTTTCGTCTGGCGTCCTTAGCTTTAAAATTACTTATGCATCTATAAAAGCTCACTGCAGTAGTCGGCACATTTTTGTTCTGTTAGGTCCCTGGACTCTTGTACTGTTCGTGGGTTCACTTAACCGAGACTTCTCCCAAGAGCCAGGCTATCAATTCTAGGTTCCCTTTCCTATAATTCCTTCCAGGGTTCTAATCGAGAATAATGCACGCCTCTACAGTCGGCAAAAGCGTGTGGTACTCTAGACAGATCCAACGCGTAACACACGTGAAAGCAGTCACAGCCGTGCTGTTGAACCCCGCGCCCGTAAATCGGCTCTTCTGTCAGGCGTCAAGTTACGCTGGCCGTCGCACTAGTTTTCACCCGCGGTTCCGCCCAAGCGCAACCGATCCGAAAGCGCAAGTATCCCTCCATAAATTTCATCACGACACCCAACTTCTCCCACCGTCCTCCCATTGCCTGACCATTTTCTATTGACCCGACAATTCAACTGTAGTTTGTAGTTCGTCCAGTGAGAACAAGATACAATTAGTCGAAGAAACGCAGAAGTATGACCTTTCCACTTCACGCCGGTCTTCTGCGAGGTGGGGGTACTCACACGAATGGACCTGCCCATTCGTGCAACAGATGATACTGTTGTGTGAATGAGTGGGCAGGTCCATTCCTGCAACAGATAATACTGTTGCGTGGCCCTACCACAGTTTATTTTACAATTTGCTGCACGCCATCAAATCTGACCACGTATAGTCCTGGAGCGATCTCCAAATGATTTTAGAGGTCGACGACCTACTGTAGATCATATGTGAGGTCGTGGTACTTACCCGGATGAACCTGGCCATTAAGTTAGGTCCATCTGGGTAAGTACATGTGAAAAACATTTCCTACATGCATTAATGTGCAGCAGCAGAAGCTGGTGCTACCACAGTCAAAAGTACCAAATACCACAGCCGCTGTTGCGTGGACCTACCACAGTCAAAGTATCAAGTACCAAGTGTAAATGACGTGACAAATTGAAAAAATCAAGTAGGCCAAGTGCGAGTCGAACACGCGCACGAACGGTTCCGTACCATTATCTATAAAAACGGCAAGAAAATCATTTCAGTTGTATGGGAGTATTTACCCACCAATTTTTTTTATTCTGTTTTTTAGTATCTGTTGTTATAGCGGCAACATAAATACATAATCTGTGAAAATTTCAACTGTCCAACTATATCACGGTTCATGAGATACAGCCTGGTGACAGACAGACAGCGGAGTTTTATTAATAGGGTCGCGTTTTATCTTTGGTTACGGAACCCTAAAAGTGATAAGAGTTTGTAGTATTTGTAAATATGACGAACTGGTTATCGATGTGCCTACATTAAAGGTTGCCCGTTCACCTTCGAAGCCGGAATGCGAATGAATAAATACGAGTTTGGATTTCGCTCGTCATCTGTTACTAATATTTCATCACTGCCCTCCGAGTTCCGTTCTTCAAATTTAAGTTTCGTTTATACTTCATACTATTTAAATAGCCATCTCTGTCTAAGTCGTTAGATTAAGTGGTACCAACGTTTAAAAAAACTCCTAAAGCAATTCAAAAACCCACTACAATTCACTAAATTCAAACCAAAACTTCTTTAAATGTAATAATAGCAGCCGATAAATGTCCCACTGCTGGGCAAAGGTCTCCTCTGTATAGAGGGTATCAGGGCATAGTCCACCACGCGACCCCACCGCGGATTGGCGGACTTCACATATTTTCGAAATATTTTTTATATTATTATTATTTCGAAAATATGCAGGTTTCCTCACGAAGGAAAACCTTCACCGCCGACCACGTGATAAGTCAGCACTTAAAATCAACAATTTCATTGGTGCCGGCACCGGGGATCGAACTCGGGTTGCTCGAGTATATTGAATTAAAGGCGAGCGTCCGGCAACTGAGCTATCAATCAATCAATCAACCAAATATCTTTATTTAAATAGATAGACGCTTGTGCGTTCTTATGAATCGTTAAATTTTACATAAAAAATTATATTCATATATATAGTTCGTAAGGTACCATATCACAGCTCTTAATACTAAAACGATATACATTTATGAAGTTTTGCCTTGAATTTACTTACTAAAAAAACTTCCATTATAAACTTTCCCTTCCTCAATTTATTTCCAACATTACTGATACTACTATCTGTTGCAGCCCGCAGCCCCCATGGGGGCACACCCACTAAGATACCGAGCCCCGTCGGCACCCTACTGCATAGGAGGACACCGGTAAGTTGCTCAAAACGTAACGTTGTCATCTTTTCAACCGACTTAAAAAAAGGAGGACGTTATCAATTCGACTGGATTTTTTTATTTTTGTTACCTCAGAACTTTTGACCGAGTGAGCCGATTTTGATGATTCTTTTTTTATTTGAAAGCTGGTGCTTCCCATGTGGTCCCATATTAATTTCATTGGTATTGGATATTGGGCTCCGGAGATACTTAGGGAACTCGTGAAAATCAATTATAAAATGAATACAGAGCGAGATATTTGAAGTAGGTTTTGTTTTTCGTTAATAAAAAATAGACTTGTAATCAAAATGTTCATTTTACGGCCGTAGTTGCTCGAACGGGCATATCCTTCCGGGGGTAACTACCACGAGAAGTGGAACTTATAATTCTGCGTTTCGTCTGGGGAGTGAGGTAGCCACTTTACTATAAGGATGCAACGCATCTGCAACCCTATGGATGTTGCAAATGTCAATTGGGCGCCGGTTATCGCTTAACAACAGGATAACCGCCAGAAATTTTCATATTTTTCCAACATATTTTTTTAAAACAACCTTCTCACATAAAAAAAGCACTGTCGTTTTATATACAACTAGACAGAGATAAACAGTTTAGTACGTTTTTCTACTCTATTAGTAAACCATTTTTATCTTTTCTTTCATTTGTTCTGTAGCAATTGACGAGCTTAAGTGTTATGCAATAAAATCTGAAACAGATTTTACTATCCTTCATTTATTGCGGTAATAACACAAAGCATATGGTCTCGTAAAGAAAATGTTGGAAGAATGGAATTTAATTTGTTTACTCTTGTACACTCGTACTGGCCACTAACAATTCGCATTACGTTTCGGTTCAGGCTGCAAAGACGGAGCACTATACAATATTTAAAAAATAATGTATTCCTTTTAATGTTGGTACACACACTATATGTCAAATGTCATTTTGGTATTGGGCGTTTTCCCGCCGAAATAAATTGCCGAATATGTCACAGCACAATCATCGTAGATCATTCAGAGGACACATTTGTTTCTGTGCACAGTACAAAATAATTTGTAGATTTAAATGTTTTTTAGTAAATGTTTATATTTGTATTTTCAATTTTAGAAACAGAATTCGAGTATATTCAATTTTAGGACGTCTATGAAAAAAATCATATTATTACGCGTTGTGTTTTCTACTCGCAAGATATGAGATCGCGTGCTTAATTACATTTTTAACCGACTTCAAAAAAGGAGGAGATTTCTCAATTCGACCGTATATATTTTTATTTTTTTTATTTGTGTTCGCGGATAACTTTGTCGTTTATGAAGCGATTTTGATCATTCTTTTTTTCTTTTTTTGTACTGTGATAAGGAAACCCGGATCTGATGATGGCGTCCCAGAGAAATTCGTGGGCCATCATTGAATGTTATAAGTAATATAACAATGTTTTTAATTTTCTGATTGAAGTCGGTTTTTTTTTTGTTAAAAATTATACTTGTTTTATGATTATTATTTCTATTATGGTATATATTCGCACTGTGAAATTATAATAAAATGTATATTAGTATTAGATTTTATAAACCTTGAAGTAAATTTGCAATTTATGCACTTTTGTTTAATTAATACTTTTTATGTATCTATGTCAGTGTACTTGTATTAAATTTAGCGAGCATAGTTTTTAGATAGCACGTGTTTTCATAAGTAGGTACCTGACAATTCATTAAAACATTATGTCGTTCAATGCTACCATCGATTTTATATTCTTTACGACGTATTGGCAAACATAATGCACTATTGGCCAGCAGTAATCTGAACCAATGACATTTTTATATGATACTCAGGACATGTGTATACTTACTTACCTAATTGTTCTGCAATGAAACAATGGACCTGTAGGATTTTCCTAATCAAAAATATCACAATTTCGAAAAAAAGACCAAATGCTTGTTATAATATATTCGCACATGTTGTTACTTTGCAATAAATTGGTTGAAAATATCGTAAATGACATCAATAATGATGTCTTAATTGAGTCTGATAGTTTCTCACGCTTTATATGTGGTAAAAGCAACCCAGGCTAGGTACTCTTTGACAGATCGTCGATCTTCTCAAAGATGAGTCTCTCTGGCTCGACTCCCGGATTCAATATAAGGAACCAGAAGGTTCTTAATGAACCTATGAAGTTTCTCAAAAGTCCGCGAGACTGAAAGCGAAAACATCATCAAGTTTTGACGCTCAAGACTTGTTCAAATGTTTAAACTCGCTGAATTTATCAGAATGATCTTAATGATCAGAATGAAAAAGCTCAGCTTGGGCTGATGTTGAATCTGGCGTGCCACAAGGCGGCATACTGTCTCCCATAATCTTCTCTATTTTTATTAACTTTCTTACTGCTTTTTTGAACTGTTCGTATCATTTGTATGCTGACGATCTTCAGCTTTATGTGCAAGCCGATATAGACGACCTTCATGTTGCGATAGTAAAATTAAACGAAAACCTAGACAAAGTTTGGAGTTGGTCAAGTTCTCATGGAGTTTCGGTCAATCCCTCGAAATGCCAAGCTATAGTTGTTGGTAGTTCAAGAATGCTGTCAAAAATTGATTACTCGTCTGTACCTCCTATAAAATACAATAATATAATAATTCCTTTTTCAAACGTGGTAAAAAATCTAGGTCTGCTTATTGACAATACTTTGAATTGGAGTGTATACGTTACTGAAATAAGCCGCAAAGTTACTGCCACCTTACGATCTCTCTATCGCTTAAAACATTTCCTCCCTTTCAAAACTAAACTTTTGCTTGTCCAAACGCTCATTTTACCCATTATCGATTATGCAGATGTGTGTTACCCGGACGTATCCCAACATCTACTAAACAAGTTGGATCGCCTCCTTAATAACTGTACCAGGTTCATTTTCGGCTTACGCAAGTATGACCACATATCCTCCTATCGATCTCAACTTAATTGGCTTACTATTCGGCAAAGGCGGCAGTCCAGAATTTTGCTTGTGCTTTTCTCCATTTTAGATGATTGTTCCTCCCCTTCTTACCTCAAAAACAAATTCTTGTATCTCTCCTCATCTCATGATAGGGTACTTCGGTCGTCTTACACGAATAAATTATGCATTCCAGCGCACTTTACCGGGTTCTCTGTCAACTCCTTTACTATCCAAGCTATACATCTTTGGAACTCCTTGACCGATAACGCAAGAAACGCAAAAAGTAAGACATCTTTCAAAATATTGGTTCGTGAACACCTGTTAAAGACAAATTCGACCTAAGATATGGACTGTAGTTAAAAGTAGAAGCTAATTGTTATTTATTTGTACAAGTATAGATCTTTAGAGAATGCCTTTGGGCATTAAGTCCGCCCTTTGTTACCTTGTTTTACTGAAGGTTGGCAATAAAGATTAAATAAATAAATAAAATAAAAATGATCAATTCAAAGAGTTTAACCATCCTTTTGGCAACTCAAATGACATTTGAAAAGCCGTTTGACAGCTGATTAGTTAACTTCTACGATGATCAGTGTTTCAGAAACCGATAAAGAAATAAAATGAACTAGATTTAGAAGTACCACTAGAAAGTTCACCAAATACAATTCAAACCGTATCAATTCTTCTAGGATTGCGGCAACCTCGACAGTTTTGGTTTGTTCCCCATGTTCGTCCCGGTCAACGGCCGCGATTAGTTTTCTATAAATGTTTGTCCGTTTGCTAGCTCAATATAATGTTCTATATTTATTTGTTAACTTTAATAAAATCCCTTTTTTATATAACTGTGCTTGTTATTCCGTAGTTTAGTTTTTTGGTATTCATAGACGGTATGTTGGATTTGAAAACTGGACAATATGTGTGATCCTTTCATTCAAACAGCGTTAGACAGTGACTCCCGATATTATTTAGCTACTACATTCGCGATAGTAAGAAGTGGCGAGATCGTCGCCACAACGGGCACTGAGACAGAATGCATTGCTTTGATGAAACACGTTCCCATACTCGGTTTATGTTCCTTGAGTACTTGATAAATTAGCTTTTGAATTTCCCACCATTACCAACGCTCAGCTCATGCCGTCACCGTGTTCTAACCCGAGTCTGTATTGTAACTGGCCTAAAGCCATGAGGTGGCTGACTGCGTGCGGATGTTGGCTCGACGGGTCAGTACCACGGTGTTGCAAAACAGGAGTAAGATTGGCTTCATGATTTTACGCGAATATTATGCATTTTAAATGAAACCAGTTCACGGATTTTATCGCGTTTTAATTTTGACTTTACAGCTCCCGACTTTTCGAACCCTTTCCAGTCTGTCCCGTGACGATGAACGCCGGAAAGGGTTCGAAACGTCGGGAATTATAAAATCAAAACTAAAACGCGATAAAGCCCGTAAACTAATTTCATTTAATAGGAGAAAGATTATTCAAGACTCGATCCTTTGAAGGTATTACAACCAAAGTCGCTGCTGTTCCGTAAGTGGCGCTGGAACCTCTCGTTAGTTCGCTAAAAGAGATCCCTCATCTAAGTTACTCCGGGTCTTTGATCGTGCATTTTAAATAAGCACCACAGCACGTCGCAAGCCAGCATTAAAGCGGACTCCTCACTTAGGGACCGCTTCACAAATAGCGGGGTGTGTAAACGGAACACGAACCGCCCGTTCGTTTAGTCGTCTGCATACGAAATGTTCGGTGTAAACACTCCAACATCAAATGCTGTTGGACGATCATTAACGCGTGCGGTGAAGGATCAGAAGAGATGTTGTTACATTCTTAACCGGCCTGGTATATTTCAAAAATGATAATGCATTGAAGATGCGGTGTGGCGGAAATTTTAGGTGGTTTCCACTGAACTATCCCAATTATTTATTATTATTATTCCCAATTATTTCCAAAAAAACTACAAAAACAAAACGAGTTCACCAGGATCCAGAAAGAAAAATGATTAAAACTTTTGAACAAAATCTAAGATTTAGTGTATTTTACACTAAAACAGAGAACAAATATGTGTGTTCAGATTTCAGTATGAA